ATTGGCTTATCTCCTCCTCAGTGCAGTATGCATACTTTTGCTTCTTGCGAAGACTGTCCAGCTTAATGGGTTGGAGCTTCTGCGTGTACAGTGGTTGATGGACCAGAAAGGTGCCGTCCTTCTGGCAAACAATCTCCTTGCCCACAAATCTACCATTGCCCTGAGTGAACTTTCCAAGCTTGTAGTTCTCATTGATCCACTTCATGTTCTTCCAGTGTTGTTCGGTTCCTCCATGGAGCAAATCATCTGTTGCAACGCTGATGATCCCCTGGAGCTGACGTTCCGGATTGAACAGGTAGAATAGGCAAGGGTCGGCCGCGCTGCATTCATATCCCAGTTTCAGAAGAACTCCTTTCAGATGTTGATACCAAGCATAGGGTCCATCCAGCAAACCGTAGCACGTCTTCAACAGTTTCAATAACTGTCGAGGTGAATATCCTGGTAGCGGAGCATCATGAGGCTGCGCAGCATAGATTTCTCTCTTGATGTCATCACCACTGTGGAAGGCCTGGGTGAAGTCGAGGTACCCAGGTAGCCACTTCATGCTGCATAGCAGTTGCAAGACGCTCAAGACGGTCTCACGGCCGCATTGTGGAGTTGTAGTCTCCAGGTTTTCAGAATTCTCTTCACTGAAGCCCTTCATGACGTGACGGGCCTTTGCCTTTGTGCTATGGGGTCCTTGGTCTTGTAAGAGCACTCCATCTTGTCGTGCAGCTTCGATATCGTCCTCATCGATACTCTTCTCTGTCATCACAAAACGGGATTTGACGATCTTCTCCGGTGAATTTCGTCGAATCTCCTCGGACTCCTCAGGGGATAGGATCACGCAGGCCTTGGTCTTCAAGTTATTCTTCACCTCCTTTTCCATGGCCTTCTTGAACTTCTCCCTTTCTTCTCCACGTAGTTCTCCGAATTTCACCTCCTTCTTCAGCTTAGCTGCCATGACCTTCTCCAACGAAGTCATAAGAAGGTCCATAAACTCAGTTCGATGTCGTTTGGATTTTGGTTCGGGTTCATCTGGTTCTTCTCCGGGATCGCGGTGACGTACTTCGCCTCGTCCAGGGTCCTCATCACCATCACCTGCTAAGCTCGGAGTGTATTCGTCCTCATCATCCTTGATCGGACATTCCTCCCCACGGGGTCGTTTCGATTTGTGTTGGCCTTCTTCGTCCTCGTCCTCATTAGCGTCTTCGCGTCCACGTCGTACATGATGAGGTCGGATCTCCTCCACAATCTCGCGCCTCTCCTCATCGGGATGTTCTTGTCCAGAAGGTCCATGTTGACGTCGAGGAAGATCTTGTCCAGCTGGATGATCATCAGGTGGATGAAGTTTGAAGGTGGTCCGTCCGGTCCATGGCATACAAATAGTGTCCTTTCCGTACTTGAGAATCCAGTCATCCTCATCCTCAAATCTTTCACCGTTAACTTCGTATTGACCCACTGTAAGCCGGTAGCTCCGAATTCGATCCCTCGGGACGGGACATCCCAGCCAGTCTTCACTTGGTTGGAAATATTCTTCTCGGGGTTGTCGATGTAGTCGATGTAGAAGTCCTTGTGGTTCATCCAGAACCCACTCATCCCGATTGTCACCAGGGTCCCTCACCATGATCTGGTCTGTTGCAGTCTTTCCATGGAGTCTATACTTCGGTCCCTCTCCGGCATGTTCAGGAATTTCCCCGTCCTCGTTCTCATTGATCGGGAATGGCTCCTTGGTCAGGTCTAGATAGCCCTGTCGGGGAACCTTATCAAGTTCATCCCGGGTTCCAGTGAGATCGTTAATCCATCCAGTCAATGTGAAACGTTCTTCCTCGGTCGCGAGACGAAGTTGTTCAGGGGCTGCCTTCACGATGAAGCCCCTGTAGTTGATCCAGACGGTACTTGGGGGCGATGTCAACACGACTCGACCAGGGCCTCGCCAGAAGCTATGGCTATTCTTCTTGGGTCCATCTGTACCCTTCCTCCAGAAGTAGACTAGTTGGCCCACTTCAAAGTCCCGGACTGGCCGTGGTCCTCCGGTCACCGCATTTCGAAGAGCCTGCCAGGAGTCCGCTTCATGGAATGCCTTGGCGGCGGCCAGACGAACCTCCTCAGCCCGTTGTACTTGTAGGTCACCTCCTCGGCGACTGGCAGTGGCTAGATCGTTGCCTCCTCCTGTCATCAAGCCACCCGGAATCCTGGGTGAGAAACCTAGAACCCTCTGTATCGGTGAAAAACCCGACTTATTCATCAGACGATTGCATGTCATGTTGACAATGTCCACGACGTTGAGCCATTCCTCGTGGGTGTTGCAAGCTACCTGCATCATCGTCCTCGTGAGAACTTCTTTGAAGCTGCGTCCAGCTCTCTCGGTGATGCTCCGTTGGGTTGGCATCTCCAGGGAGCTCGGCTCGATGAACGTCGAGTCCTGTTCGGCACCAATTTCAAAGACACCCTTGAACTCCCTGCCAAGATCAGTGTATAGCTTCTCCGGTGGTCCAAACAGTCGAACCCACTGCAAGTATGCTCGGCGAGCAGCTCCAGGAGTGTGTCCAGCAAGTGGCACCATCATTTGAAATCTCGAAGCCCAGTCCACGATGTTCAAGGCCATTCGTCGCTTCCCTTGATGGTCAGGTAAGTAGATAGTATCCACCCCGACCACCTGGTTCACGTGGAGTTGTTTTGGCGGCGCTGCTCGCCTGGCCGGTCGAGTGGCAGCATGCCTCTCACAGACTGAGCATTTCAAGTTCTTGGCCAGATTGATGGCCTCTTCCGAAGCCTTGGCATCCTTGAGAATCCTGGCCAAACGGTCGTTTCCAGGGTGTCCCAATCCTTCATGGGCACGTCGAACCAACTGCGCGGTCGAGAAAGGTCGTTCCCTTGGTAGATATCGATGTAGCTCCTCAGCTGTCTCCTCATCTTCAATCTCCTTGGACTCTTCAGGAACCTCGTTTTCCGCCGGGACATGGTGCACCTCGTGGATCGGGTCCTTCTCGGTCTCGACAACGCGGAACTTCTCCCGGCTCCTCATCTCCGTCAGGATCCCTTGTACTCGTTCTTGATCTCGCCTCAGTTCACCAAGATCAGCCCACAAGATCGTCAGTGGTTGCCCAATTGACATTTTGTATCCCTTCAGGATGGCTTCCACAAGACGTGGTGGATAGTGTTGAGCTTGAAGTGAACGAAGTCCTCCTTCATCTCGTCCAAGGACCGGTTCATGGGGATGAGAGCCGTCGCATCGTCGGCGAAGTTGGTCCAGGATTTGTATATTGTTCGACAAAAACCCAGTTGATTTCCGATGAAGGGCTCCTGATTGCGCACGGAGGCCAAATTGACATTGGTCACAGGCAGCCATATGGACTTCCGGAGATTGGATGAGCTTCTGCATGAGGTTGTCCATCCATGCCCGTGACGTCAACGGGTGTTCGAAAACGAAGGAACCTCCGTATTTGAGCACTTCAAAGGCTATCTCGATGCCAAACCTGAGCAACACCTTAGCTTCGATCAAACGCCTTAGAAATTCCGGGTTGGCTTCCGGATTCTGAAAGTTTCGATTCAAGTTCTGCAGCAAGCTAAAAAGAGTACATGGTGGTGAGATGATTACCAAACCTGGTTTCATTTCCCTTACATACCTGCGAACTTCCTGCCTCATGTTTCGATTGGTCAGATCATGTCCCAACTTCAAGTCAAACGCTTGTCCCCTACAAAGTCCATACTTGTCCAATTTGTCCTGAAACCGATTGGGATTGTATAACTCGGCAACTACTTTCATTTGGTTCTTGGTTTTCTGAAGCAGCCAGAGAAATTTTTGCTGATCGCGACGGTCAACAGCACAGGAGTCAAAACGAGACCAACCTACGGATTCCACTTTATCCGAGTCTGTACGCAATAGGCTCATAAGTTCATTCCAATTTGCCTCAGCCGCTTCTAAAGCTGTCCGAGCTTGTCTCAGAGTACGGCGCTGACGCCTATTCAAACCATCGGTCTCTTTGGACTCCTGAATTACAGGTTTTGAACCCTCTCTCAGTCGCTCTCGTCCAACCCTCTCTCAGTCGCTCTCGTCCCCCTTCTTGTCCGGTTTCTTGGACTGTTTCCACTTGCGGAACTCCTGGAACTCTTGGAACTCGTCCAGGGTCTCCTTGGTCATGCGGGGTCGGCTCCCTCCACTCTCCTTCTTGATGTTGCCCTTGCTGCTCTCGCTGTCGGAATTCCGTGGCTCCTTCTTCAGAAGCTTCCCACAGTCGGCACACCTCTCCTGGTAGCTGATTCCATTGGTCCCCTGACGGGTCACTCGGCGATGAAGGCATCGGGAATGGACCTCGCTGCCAGTCAGAGTGGTTGGTGAGCTCGGAGTCGACATAGCTGGTGTCCCCGGTCTGGTGCTCCTCAATGATGTAGCCTTGCTTCCCCGCAGCGTTGGTGAGCTCGTCATCGGTCCCCCGCGAGGTGGCGGCTGGTACTTCTCCTCGGCCCAGTACGGCTGGTAGATGGTCCACGCGAAGAAGGGACACTGGAGGTGTCTCGGCTGACTGCATCGCCAGAACAGCCGGCTGTGATTGGGTCCCTCCTTCCGAGAGATGAACACCCTGCTGGGGATGTTGTGCTGGCACATCGGTGGTGGCCCTAAGATCTGCATGTCCTCGTCCGTCACATAGTTCCCCTGAGTCACCTCGGACACCTGGGACCCGTTCATGCTGGATCCCGGAGATACTGGAGCCCGGTAGTTGATTGTGTAGTGCTGCTGAGGGATGAAGTTCTCTGTCTCGGCCCCGGCAAGTGAGATCCCATCCCAACTCTCCAGCTCCTCCTGCTCCTCCGCAATCTCCAACAAGGTGCCGGTCAGGTAAACCCCTGGTACTTGAGGAAATGCCGAAAATGGCTGCACCGGCTTGGGTCGTGCCATTCCCGCCAGTCGCACCATCAGCTCGGTCATCTTGGCCACCACGAAGAGCACCTTCATCACAATGCGCTGCCACGCAGTCAGTGGCTCGGCGGCGGCATCGTTCGCCGTCCGAGACCTCTTGGCATTGCCGCGGGCATCCATGGCTGACGTCGGAAGCATGTGGACTCTCGACCGGTGGAGGGTCAGCGAACGGGGGCACGGAGGTGGCTTGAGCAAAAACCTGAGTCGTTCGCAAGATCTCAAACTCGGACTGCTGATCTTGGAATTGCCGCTGAGCGGTTTGAAGTTTTTGTTTCATGCCATCAGTAAACTGACCTAACGGAACTCGGAGTGCCCCACTTGGTCCTAAATGACAATTCACCCGAAACCCAAAACGTTTCAACTCCATGGTCAACCCTTGGCTAGGATCTAAGTTCAGCACAGCCTTGCAATACATCAAAAAGGGCAAGGAGATCAGGAATGGGGCGTCTCGGGATTCAACATTGTCAAAAATTGCCGGCCGTAGCAAGCTTCCCTTGGTACCCAAGCTAGTAGGGATCACCGCCGCAAACTTTGTAGTTGAAGTTCCATGTACCGATCGAAACTTGTGTTCCTGCCTAGTCAATTGGGTTTGAAGACCTGGTGGAAGGGATTTGTCCAGCTTGTTGAGGGTGTTCAAACCAATTGCCATACGTTGGCATCCAGTATCAATCGTTGCACAAAGTTCTTCTGGGGTTTCAACAGGGTTCCATTGAGATCCCTTAACAGCCTCATTCCAGAAAATCGGAAACGGTTCCTGAGAACACACACCACAACCATCACCACAAAAACAACAGTTATCATCACAACCAGTTCCCACACGGTCCTTATAACCTTGGCAAAAATTGGAAAATCCAGTTGGGTTCAAACTCTGTACATCGGATTCGTTGGTGCCTACGCGATACCCCCGGGGTGTTCCCGGCTTCTCAGGCGTCCCACTTTCAGCAGGAGCATGATCCAGATCCACTGGTTCAAGATGGCCACAGAAAATGGCCTCGTCAGTGGTCAGGTTCGTCTTGGCCTCCATGAAGTTCACCTCCTTGGAGTTCGAAGTCGGCGGTCGTCCACCATTTCGAGGACACTCAGGATCACGGTGCCAGTGTCCAACCTGGCCACATTTGGAGCATTTTGACTTGGCCTTGGCTTCACTCAAGGTCATCCTGTAGTATCCGCCCTTCACATAGCCCGAAGTTCCCATAGAGCTCTGAGATCTCGAAGTGTTCGAGCCACCTTTGTCTTTCCATTGGCCATACCCACGCGCCAATGCCTTGGCTCGTTTCGTCTTCAGGCTTTGCATGAAGGTTTTCTTTTTCTGCGTCACCATGGTATTCAAAATCTCCTTGGCCTCGTGCTCTTCCAAGACGTCCTCGAAGTCCTCCACGCCCAGCTCCGATTCTCCTTCGCCAAGATCTTCAGGATGTAGTTCGCGATAGATCTCCTCCATGGCGCACAGCTCGTCTTCCTCGTCCGGCTCGATGGTGGTCGTTGCCAAGGTTTGGAAGGTCTTGGCATTCCCCTTTCGCTCGGTGCCCACGTCCCTGGCCTGAAGTTTCATCTCATGTTTGCGGCACCATTCCTTCACGTCCTTCACCAGGATTGAACCACGACTGAAGGCCATCAGTGCCTTCGTGTCCTGTTCACTCAGGCCCAGGGCGTTGATCAGCAAAAAGCCCAGATACCGATCAGGCAAAGTCACCCGGTGCTCTCCAATCTTTCTAACTGCATCATCCCACCGAGTGAAGAACTGTCGGCAGGTCTCATCCTTGCCTCGCCTCAGGTGGTATGTCAGTTTTGACAAAGACGAAAGGAGCTCCTCCTCAGTGTCCTCTCCAAAGTATTCTGGAGTGTCCATTGCAGCCAGAAGTCGATGTCCACCTTGAGGGTCCTTCAGCCACTCCGTGTCCTTTGCCCAATGTTTGAAGCTTTGAAAGGCTTGCCCACTCAGGCGTTGTAACATCAATGGGCCTTGGGTGTGACCTTTGGCCCGAGTGGTGGCCAGCCAAAGCCTAGCCTTGATAGCCCAGTCCTGAAAGTTGCTGGTGCTATCCCATTCCGGCGGCAAGCCGGCACCCAGCCCCTTACCTCCAGGGCCACGTTCCTCTTCGCTCTCATCTTCTCCTCGTCGACCTCGTCCTTCACGACGACTCCGACCACCTTCTGCACGTCGTCGACTGGCCCTTTCTTGGAGCCATTCACGAAACTCCTCGCTATCAAACCCATCGGCATCTTCGTCGGAACGTCCGGCTCTGCCATCATCACGGGCATCCGGTCCGGTCTCAGCCGGAACATCGCCACCATCAAGACTTCCATGGCTTGAAGGCACACGAGCCGCCATGGTTTCACTAACCCTGGAGCTTTAAGCTCCGCCTACCACTGAAGGCGCCAACATGCGCACCGCGGACGCTTTTTCCGCACAGACACCCAAGGCCCAGTTTGAGCCGCAGTCTAGCACGGCGATCACGTGAAGTTGCCACACAGGCATGTGTGGATTTCAGCCGAGCCTGGACAGAATCACCCAGATCCACAATAATATATACACATATCTAGCAGCTTTTTGCAAACTTTGATCCAGGACAATCAAAGTGGGAGATCCTTTGGTAGCTGGAACCCTCATGGGCCCACTGGTCTCAGAGGTGCAGAACCCAAAGACACCTAACTCGGCACCACATAACAGTTTTGGTGAGGCTCTGAGTGAGACCCTGTCATCACTTTTCATTGGAAACTGGCAGGGGCAGAAGCAAAAGGTACTGGGAATGATCAAGCAGGAGAGGTTGATTTGACTTTTGTGGAGATTGAGTTTGTGAAAAGGAATCTGCAATGTTTCGTGTTGAATGCAAGGGTCGGACTTGCAGCAGGCTGAAGCTGATGGCGCGAAAAATCATGCGCTACCTTTGCAGCTATCCACCGAACTGCAGCAAGGCCAGTACGCAGTCGTTGAAGCTGTTTACATGGGTGTACACATTGACATGGATGTCCTTGACCGTCTTTGATCCGAAAAATGAAAGGTGTTGCAAGGGTCAATCCAAAAAAACAAAAAGACAGGGCTGCGCTCCCTTGCAGAACTCTCACAAGTCACGAAGAAACGCATCAAGAAAGGAATCGTCAAAGAGTAGAGCCGGCAGCCGGATGTTTGCTGGAGGCTACTACGTGCCACCGACTGTTTTGTCCAACTTGCTTGGATCTTGGTCTTTGATCCTGGGGATGAATTTTCAAAGCAAAATGGATTCTTAGTTCATAAGGAGCTTTTTGAGGGCAAGACTCCAAGTTATCTAATATAGATTTTTGGTGAATATAGGTGAATATAGGTTGCTCTTAGCTTCGTTTTAGACCGTTCTTGCCATGTTTCTCCCGTCTCCAAGGCCCTACAACTCGACAGCATGGAAGGAAGAAATCTTTGGACCCGTCCTTGCCATCAGGCAGCCATGGAAACGCTGCATACTCACTTTACTACCTACTGTATGGATTTAGGAAATCGGTTAATGTTGAGTTTTGTATGCACTAATCACTCAACACCATCAAACCGTCCAATTCTTGGGGTTCCATAATTTGAGCCAAACCAAGATGGCATAGAGTTTGTGGCCTCGCAGGTCTTTCAGCACTGACGAAGAGGTGCAGCTCCGAAGTCTTTGGGGTACGTAAATGTATGTATATTCATCTATACTCATCTATATTCACCTAATGATCTATATTCACCTATATTCACCTTATATTCATCTATACTCATCTATATTCACCTATATTCACCTTATATTCATCTATTCTCATCTATATTCACCTATATTCACCTTATATTCATATATACTCATCTATATTCACCTATATTCACCTTATATTCATCTATTCTCACCCATATTCACCTATATTCACCTTATATTCATCTATACTCATCTATATTCACCTATATTCACCTTGTATTCATCTATACTCATCTATATTCACCTATATTCACCTTATATTCATCTATACTCATATTCACCTATATTCACCTTATATTCATCTATTCTCATCTATATTCACCTATATTCACCCTATATTCATCTGTACTCATCTATATTCACCTATATTCACCTTATATTCATCTATTCTCATCTGCATTCACCTATATTCACCTTATATTCGTCTATACTCATCTATGTTCACCTATATTCACCTTATATTCATCTATACTCATCTATATTCACCTATATTCACCTCATATTCATCTATACTAATCTCTATTCACATATTCACCTATATCAATCTATGCTCATCTATATTCACCTATACTCATCTTTATTCGTGAGTATTCACCTATACTCATCTATACTCATCTGCATTCACCTATATTCACCTTATATTCGTCTATACTCATCTATGTTCACCTATATTCACCTTATATTCATCTATACTCATCTATATTCACCTATATTCACCTCATATTCATCTATACTAATCTCTATTCACATATTCACCTATATCAATCTATGCTCATCTATATTCACCTATACTCATCTTTATTCGTGAGTATTCACCTATACTCATCTATACTCATCTAAATTTACCTATATTCACCTATAATCATCTATACTGATCTATATTCATCTATATTCACCTATATTCACCTATATTCACCTATACTCATCTATATTCACCTATATTCACCTAGATTCATCTATACTCATCTATATTCACCTATATTCACCTTATATTTATCTATACTCATCTATATTCACCTATATTCACCTTATATTCATCTATACTATACTCATCTATATTCACCTATATTCACCTATATTCACCTCATATTCATCTATACTAATCTCTATTCACATATTCACCTATATCAATCTATGCTCATCTATATTCACCTATACTCATCTTTATTCATGAGTATTCACCTATACTCATCTATACTCATCTGAATTTACCTATATTCACCTATAATCATCTATACTGATCTATATTCATCTATATTCACCTATATTCACCTATATTCATCTATACTCATCTATATTCACCTATATTCACCTAGATTCATCTATACTCATCTATACTCATCTCTATTCACATATTCACCTATGTGAATCTATGCTCATCTATATTCACCTATATTGACCTATACTAATCTTTATTCACGAATATTCACCTATATTCATCTATACTCATCTAAATTTACCTATATATTCACCTATAAGCATCTATACTAATCTATATTCGCCTATATTCACCTATAATTATCTATACTTATCTATATTCACCTATAATCATCTATACTCATCTATATTCATCTTTATTCACCTACAATCATCTTTACTCATCTATATTCATCTATGTTTACCTATTACTATCCTATAATAATCTAGAATCATCCATACCCACCTATATTCACCTATAACTTTGTAACCCTGAGTTTTATCATGTGTTATTTGGCCATGTTCGATGTTTAAATTAATATTTTTTTTGGGCTGCAGCCTAAATTTTAGCCTTGTCCCCGGGGGTTCTGGACGTAGTTCTTTTTTTTAAATGTCAGTACAGGAATCTTAGCATGATAAAACTGGGTTCTGACCCTGAGGGCCACACCAGACGGGGATCCTATAAGCATCTGTTGCACCCTTGCCAGGCTGTCCGCTTAGCAAATGACACCCCTTATGGCCTGGCGAATGCCGTGAGGGGGCACAGTCCAACCAGGGATTGCTTAGTTGGTATGGGGAGAGCCATAAAATCGCAGTTTTAATGGGTTTTGGTGGGGAATATGTGGGGAATATCATCATCAATTATCAAACTATAGGGCCTATAGGGTTCCTCTATTGACGAACCCTTAAATGGATGTAATGGATGTAAAATGAATATGAATCTTCAGACAGCATCGAAGCACCATTGAAATTCTGCATAATTATGTTATATTATGTTTATCAGCCAAATGAACTAGCGACCTCAAGTCATGGCAGACTTAGCTAGGGTCTACTTTAGACAGCCAGATACATCTTTGCAACAGTGATACCTACTTGACGAAAATTTGGTTGTGAGTTTTTTTGAGATGTTGCCAATGCATGAAATTCATATCCAACTGCAGACTTCTACGTAGCCATGGCACGCGATTTTGTCAGCAGATGGAAGCATTGTACGGGTGGTCATTGGAAGCAGGTGTGACTGGCTGGGCTGTCCTCCATGCATTGGTCCGCGCAAACATATACTATACCCGTGCTGTCCATCCTACAGCCGCAAAAGACACATCGTCTATCATTTGTAAGTATCTATGGTATCTAAGTTTCCCCTATAATAAGCTGGTTTTAGATCCCCATTATTGTTGGTTAATTATATCATATCCCTTGGAGCATCCTTCACTTCATATTGTACTCCATCCCACCCTACGCCTGACAACTAGACAAGGTCTACTCTCGAGACTACCGTCGATGCAAAAGGGTAGCGTCACAACTCAAATCTGGCGTGGTGTGGGAAAACTGCTCGCAGGCTGGGAACCAGGGGAGCTGTGAAATGACTCTAGTTGGTCAAGTCACTGGCGTAGGCCAAGAGGATGGTTGTACACTGTGCTCGTAGCTGTCGCAGCGAGCCTGTGAGGTCTTGTTTCCCTCGACCCCTTTCGGTGGCCGGCAGGCTCTGTGAACCATGGGCTGTTTTGGTTGGTACGGTCAAGATGGTCAAGTACTTGTTCAAATCCACAGTACTTGATCTTGTTGGGACATGTATATAGCCATTCTTCAAGCAAGAAATGGTTTGATTCATGGGATCGCAGCTTGCCATTTTATATATATATTTTTTGGTTCTGATTCCAACAGCTCTAGCATGTGACTAGTGATGCCAGGGCCGAGCAAGCGGCTTTGGCTTCGAACTGGGCCCAGCAGGTCTTAAGGAGCAACAGCCTCAATATGCCTCAATGGTCTCAACCAGCGGACAGATCAATGGCTTATCCCCAACTCACATCCTTTTTGTTCCAAGTTCATCCTTTGTCATTACAGCTTAGACCAACTTGATCAACTGGATCCGAGGTTTTTGAGCGAGAAGACAGTCATCAGCAATGACCGGCGAGAGACCTAGAGCAGTTGACATGGACTCACCGACACTCTTTGATGCTGGACATGTATCAGGACCACCTTTGACTGGGGAATCTATAAGCAGGCCTGAGGGGGTAAGCTTGTAGTACTCAGTTGTACCCATCTTTTGCGCAGAAAATGATGTCTCTTTGCGTCGTACGTTCATTGTCTGGAAATACAATCAACATCTGGATTGCCACATCGAAAAAGATGTTCGGTGTACTGTTCTGTGGTGTTTGGAATCCAATTTGGACTGGTTGATATAGAGGAAACTTCGCCTGTTGGCTTATTTTCCCTTACAGTAACTTTCATGAACATGCGATCTCATGTGGAGGGGATAGATGATATTCTGCGCCATTTCAAAGCTGCAAAAGGGCAAGTGACAGAATCCATATGTGTCAGTACCAGTACTAGCAAGTGCAATAGTCCTTTGCATCAGCTGAGGATATTTTTCAATGCAAACATTTACCGCCAGAGCAGTATTCAAAGAGCAGACTGAGAAAATGCATCACATTGAAGGCATTTAAGAGACTCAGCACAGTAGTTCATGGCTGATTGGATGGCGAACCAGCTTCCAAAATGCCAGAAGCCGCTGAGGACAGGGGTGCAGGGTCGGCCTTTAGCGGGCGTCCTTCATAATTCTTGATCCTAAAATGAGCCAAATCCCATAGGATCACGTTCAATTTGAAAAATTGTGGAGACCATCCCTCTTGTGTTGTGACATGTCGTGAGTGAAACTCAAGCTTGGGCATCCAGAAGGCTATCGCCAAGGACGTAGGGAAACCACAATGTGAGACCGATGGTTTCTGTTTGTGTCGACATGTCTCAACGGAAACGCTCGCAGGTTGTAGGTCTTTTCCATATTCTTTTCCTAGTGTAGGGTGTGTATGTCAATAGGAAGATCTTCTTTCAAAACTTCAACGTGGAAAGCCTGAGGAACCCAAAGATGCAAGCGATGGCCACGAGGAGCTAGATTTCTCATCATTTTTCACATAGCCAAGTTTTTTTTCCCATAGTCAACAATCAAGAATTATCAATAATGCAATCATTTACATAGTTCCAACTTTCATGGCGTTGTCAAGCCGGGATACATCGGCGACTCCGGCACTTCTCTTTGCCCTTGAGATGACAGGCGGAGAAGACCGCAGAATCTGAGGTAGTGTTGGGAGCTTGGTTGCAGCCTTCTGCGACAGCTCAACGCAGTGAATGCCATGGTAAGGACCGCTGCAAAAGGTAAAGGGAAAGGCAAGGAGGAGAAGAAGGACCGGCTCAGCGGCCACAGCTGATTCCGTTGTGCAGTAGTGGAAATGCAAATCGCATAAGCTGTGTCAAAAAGACGAAAAAAATGCAGGGTTGCCTCCTGATTTAGGACATGCAGATCCATTTTTTTTAACCTGTGGTCACTTTTTCAGTTGTATTCAAGATATCAGCGGGTTTTGGTAGCTAGACAAAAAAAATGATCACTCCATTGATCATTAAAACTGCAGTTTTTTTTTTTCTGGGGGGTATCCCCCATTTTGCAGAGAGCCCCTTTTATTCCTTCCTTTGATATCTCAACGGTCACGCAGAAAAGCAAGTTCTGGATCTCTTGGGACTCCTTGGAGAGGTGGGCATCTTGATGACACAGCCATTGATAAATGGGTGACTGTCATTGTCTATGCTTAAAAAATAGGGTACCTAATGTACCTAAAAAGAATCAAGTGGTTTATCATCATTTTTCAATATCTTGAATATCTTCAATGGCCATTTGGAGGATACCTTGTTTTCAGACACAGCCACTGGACCCGCTGGAGCCAGGCGACTCCAGTTGTCCAAATGGGTTGCCTTCAGCTGCTCCAAGGCCGTGCCTACGGGTCACAGCCTGTCACTGGTACCGTGAGCAGATCTCAGGACCACACTGCGAAGATCTGGGAGTTGAACAGCATGGAGTGCCGTGGTACACTGGCAGGTGCGCTCCAGTGGCGATTTTTGTGACTCGTGGGATCTGGTTGACTGGTTGAGCTTGGTAACCTGGTACTGCTTAGTTGTGACTAGTGCTTCTAAACTTTCCCTCAGGATTGCATGAGGGAACAGTTCGATGTGCAGTCATCGACTGGAAGGACACCTGTGAGACATGTGTCACAGTGGCAGTCACAATGACGGAGGCATAGGGCGAGACCCTTGGCATATTGACCCTTGCCGCAGGAACTCATGGTCATCACTGGCTCAGATGATGGTGCATTTCTCAGGGCAGACCAATTGCGACCGTTGGCCTCTCCAACTTGGAATGTGTGAAATTTATGTGCCAGATTTTTTTCCCCAACAGCAGAAGCTTTGGGGTCTTCAGCCATAGTAAAGGTTTCGGAGCAGACCGGAGCAGCTCCAAAACCCATTCCCCCAAGGTTCCCAAGGTTCCCAGGGTTCCCAAGGTTCCCAGGGTTCCCAAGGTTCCCAAGGTTCCCAACATTCCCAAGGTTACCAAGGTTCCCAAGGTTCCCAAGGCTCCCAAAGTTCCCAAGGTTCCAAAGGTTCCGAAGGTTCCCAAGGTTCCCAAGGTTCCCAAGGTTCCCAAGGTTCCCAAGGTTCCGAAGGTTCCGCAGGTTCCCAAGGCTCCCAAGGCTCCCAAGGTTCCCAAGGTTCCCAAGGTTCCCAAGGTTCCCAAGGTTCCCAAGGTTCCAAGGAAGAGGTTCCCAAGCAACGTTCCCAAGCAAGGTTCCCAAGAGGTTCCAAGAAAGGCTCAAAGGTTGCCAAGCAAGGGTTCCCAGCAAGAGCTTCCCAAGCAAGGGTCAGGAAGAGGTTCCCAAGCAAGGTTCCCAGGAAAAGGTTCCCAGGAACAAGGTTCCCAGGAACAAGTTCCCAAGCAAGGTTCCGAGGAACAGGTTTTGCAAGCACGGATTTCAGGAACCGTTTTCAAGGTTCCCAAGAACCGTTTCCCAAGCAAGTTTTCCAGGAACATGTTTTTCCAAGCAAAGCAAAGTTCCCAGGACAGGTTTTCAAGCAAGTATTTCCAGACGAGGTTTCAAGGAAGAGGTGTCAAAGCAAGGTTCCCAGCAAGCTGGTTCCCAAGCAAGGTTTTCAGGAAGAGGTTCCCAAGCAAGGTTCCCAGCCACAGGTTCCCAGGAACAGGTGCCCATACAAGGTTCCCAAGAACAGGTTCACAAGTAATTCCCAAGTACGTTCCCAAGCAAGGTTCCCAGCAACAAGTTCCCAGGAACAGGTTCCCACACAAGTTTCCCAAGAACAGGTTCACAAGTAAGGCTGCCGGAAAAAGTTCCCAGGCAATGTTTCCAGGAAAAGGTTCCCAAGCAAGGTTCCCAGGAACAGCTTCTCAAGCAAGGTTGCTAGGAAGAGGTTCTGAAGCAAAGTTCCCAGGAAGAGGTTCGCAAGCAAGGGTTCCCAGTTGTTCCTGGAAATTTTGCTTGGGAACCAGCTCTTCCTGGGGACGCTTACTTGAGAACCTTTTCCTGCGAGCCTTGTTCCTGCTTGGAACCTTGCTTGGAAACGGTTCCTGGGACCTTGCTTGGGAACCGTTACCTGGTAACCGTACTTGCAATCGGTTCCTAAGAAATTAACCTTGCTTGGGTTCCTCAGCCACCCCAGGAACAAGATTTCCAATCACATTTTCCAGTTTTAGGTTCGCAAGCAAGGTTACCAGGAACGATTCCCAAGCCAGGTTCCCAAGAACAGGTTCCCAGGAAAGGTTCCCAAGCAAGGGTTCCAGAAACAGTTGCCAAGCAAGGGTTCCAGAAACAGTTGCCAAGCAAGATTCCCAGGTCAGGAACAGGTTCCCAAGCAAGGTTCCCAGAAACAGGTTTCCAAGAAAGGGTTGCAAAAAAGGTTTCCAAGAATAGGTTCGCAAGCAAGGGGTTTCCAGGCAATGTTCCTGGGAACAGGTTTCCAAGCAAGGTTCGCAAGACCAGGTTCCCAAGCAAGGTTCGCAAGAACAGGTTCGTTCCCAAGCAAGGTTCGCAAGAATAGGTTCACAAGCAAGGGTTCCAAGAACAGTGCCTCAAGTTCCCAAGCGAGGGTTCCAAGAACAGGTTTCCTTGCAGGGTAGCGGCAAGGTCCTTGGGAACAGGTTCCCAAGCAAGGTTTCCACGAACAGGTCCCCAAGCAAGGTTCCCCAAGGACAGGTTTGCAAGCAACCTTCGCAAGAACAGGTTCGCAAGCAAGGGTTCGAAGAACAGGTTCCCAAGAACAGGTTCGGGTTCCAAGAACAAATTCTCCAGGAAGGTTCCAAGAATAGGTTGCCAGCACGGTTCCCACGAACTTTTTCTCAAGCATGGTTTCAGGTTGTTCATGTTCCCAGGAACAGCTTTTCAAGAACAACTTGCAAAGCGAAATTTCGAAGACCATCTGCAAGCAAGGTTGGAAGCAAGAATAGAATCCCAAGCCAGGTTCCGAAGGACAGGTTCCTAAACAAGGTTCCTAAGCAAAGTTACGAAAAACAGGTTCCCGAGCAAGGTCCCAATGAACAGGTTTGAAGCAAGCAGGCAAAGTTTCCAAGAACAGGTTTCCAAGAGAAAGTTCCCAAGAACAGGTTACCAGGCAATGCTCCCAAGAGCAGGTTCCTAAGAATAGGCTCCCAAGAACAGTTTCCCAAGCAAGGTTCCGATAAACAAGTGTCAAGCAACGTGTCCAGGAACAATTGCCCAGGCAAGGTTCCAAGAATATTGAACAACAGAGCGCTGCAAAGTTTGAAGATTTGTTCTAATAACGGAACGGAGAGATTGAAGAACTAGTTTTGCTTCAAAAAATGATACGGCACTCGCACATGGATAAAACACTAGACGACAGCGTGGCATGAAAGAAGGCAGTAGGGAGGAGACGAGAAGAAAAGGATGATGGTGATGATGATGACGACAATGATGATGGCGATGACGATGACGAGGATGAATGGCGATGGAGATGATGATGAATGATAGCTGACGCGAGTCATATCATATATCCACGGTTTCGCGCCTTTTTTGGCCCCACAGAGGGTTTGCTCCAGGGCTGGCACCTGAGTGACAGTCAGAATCCAAAGACATGTTGTTTTTACACAGCGAAAAATTTACACAGAGAAGATGTTACACACAGAAGCCTTTACACAGAGAGGGATTTACACAGAGCAACTTTTACACAGACGCTTTTGCACACAGACGCTTTTACACACAGAAGCTTTTGCACAGAAAAGCCTTTTCTAAAGAAGTCTTACCACATGAAGCCTTTACACAGAGCAGCTTTACACACAGACGCTTTTTCACAAAGAAATTTTTACACACAGGAACTTTAACGCGCAGATGCCCAAGCTTTTACACACAGGAACTTTTGCACACACACACACGCCTTACAAAAAGAAGCTTTTAGACACAGAAACTTTTACAGCCTTTTCACAAGAAAGCTTTTACACAGAGATGCCTTTACAAACAGAAGCTTTTACACACAGAAGCTTTTACTCAGAGAAGCCTTTAAACAGAGCAGCTTTTACAGAAAAAGAAGCTTTTACACAGAGAAGATTTTGCACAGAGAAGCTTTTTCACAGACAAGTGTTTGCGGGAAGGAACTTTGAGCACAAACGGTTTTTAGATACAGCAGCTTTCACACAGAGAAGCTTTTGCGCGGACCAGCTTTTACACTCAGGTTTGTTTTCACAGAGCAGCGTTTACGCGGAGCAGCTTTTACACACCGAAGTTTTGACGCAGAGAGGCCTTTACACAGAGAAGCTTGTACATACAGAAGCTTTTACACACCGACGCCTTCGCACACACACACACAGATGCCGGTACACAGAGCAGCTTTGACACACAGACGCTTTTACACAGAGAAGCCAATACACAGAGCAACTTTTACACAGCGCGGCTTTTACACGGAAACGCCTTTACACAAAGAAGCTTTTCTACACAAACGCTTTTACGCATAGAGGCCTTTACACACAGAAGCTTTTATGCACAAGGTTTTCACACGGAAGCTTTACACAGAGAAGCGTCTAAACAGAGCATCTTTAATACACAGAAGCATTTACACACACACACAAGCTTTACACACACGCCTTTGCACACAGAGCTTTTACCTACAGACGCCTTTACGCATAGAAGCTTGTTCACAGAGCAGGGTTTACACAGAGCACAGAGAGAGGCCTTTGCACAGAGCAGCTTTTACAATCTTTTACGCGCAGAAACTTTAAACACGCCCTTGTAAAATCGTAGTTTTACACAAGTTTATTTCGCGCAAAACGGTTGTGCCTGACGTTTCAAACTGGATAAAGTCGCAATTTTACACCAATTCTTGAACGTTGGCATCTGACGTTAAAAAACCGCAATTTTCCCACAGTTATTGCCGTTTGACTTTCATGCCAGGCTTGCATCTGAACTTTCAAAATCACAATTTTATACCAGTTTTTGACGGTTAACCCTCATTTCGTGCGAAGGGGCTGTGCCGGGCCTCACCAAATTTGCATTTTGCCACATGTTTGGATGTCCGACCTGCGCGATCTCTGAAGAGGGTTGCCCGTGCCCAAAAGAAATTCACATTCCACCACATGTTTGGGCGTTCGAAACGCACGATCTCCGCAGACGGCTGCTGCGGGCAAAGAAGTTTCGCATTTCACCACACCACATGTTTGCCCATCCGACACGCGCCATCTCCGCAGAGGGTTGCCCAAGGACAAACAAGACCCGCATTTCGCAACACGTTTGGGTGTCCGACGCGCCGCAGAGGGTAACGATTCGTAAGCCACCGCCTGGCTGTCCCTGCCACCAGAGAGAAATAGTAAATAGAAGAACTGGATGATCTTGCAGGAGTTCAGATACAATTTGATCACCTGGAAGTTAGCTGAACCCCTGTGTAGCAACTCCAATTTCTGTGCAAAATGACCTTGCCGGCAGGAGTCTTGTAGGAGTTCAAGTAGAAATGGATCACCTGCAAGTCAACTCCTGTGTAAATGACATTGTTCAAGTTTTGTAGGAGTTCCCTAGAAGTTGATCACCTATAGCTGATGTAGGTGATGTTGTCTATGTTGTAGATGATGTTGTAACTGATGTAAGGTTAGATAGATTTGAAGATGTAGGTGATGTATAGGATGCAGTGATATAGATGATGATGTAGGTTATGTATGCGTTGTAGGTGATGTATATCATGTAGATGAGGTTGATGGAAAAAGATCGTGTAGTGATGTAGATGGTGTAGGTGAGATAGATGATGGTGATGATGATGATGATGGTGGTGGTGATGGTGATGATAATCATGATGATGTAGGGAAGATGGTGCAGAAGATGTAGGTGATGTGGGTGATGTAGAGGATGTAGTGATGTAGGTGATGGTGTAGGTAATGTATGTATTGTAGATAAAGCATGTCATATAGATGAGGTTGATGGAAAATGTGTAGGTGGTGTAGATAATGTAGGTGAGACAGATGTAGGTGATGATGATGATGATGATAATGATGATGATGATGATCGTGATAGTGATGATGATGGTGTAGATGTAGATGTAGATCTAAAGAAAATGGTGTAGAAGGCGGTATAGAAGATGTATGTGATGTAAAGGACATAAGAGATGTGGATGATGTATGTTAGGTAGATGAAGTGAAGAGTGAGGCAGACAACAATTCTTTGGGAAAAAGCCTTCGCACGAGCTTCGGGAATTTTGGCTTTTGGAAAAGCGGTTTTTCATAAAGTGTTTGTGCTGTGATTGCGCCTTGTACGTCCGACCTCTAGAGTAAGAAGGGCGGGGCAATAAACATACTTCACTCATTGGGTGTTTGCAACTGTTTTTGTTTCTGGCTGTTGGGGATACTCTTTGGGCTTATTTGCTGGAGCCATGGTGAAGAAAAAACATAGTTGAATGGCAAAACTCTTTGACAGTACTGTAGCATGTACCTATTGCACTTCTGTGACTGAAATGATTTCCCTTGGTGTCTGGGAGTTGTGGACATCTTATTTCATTTCTGTGCATCTTGAAAACCGAAACTAACCAGAAGTTAAGCAGACATGTGGACTTTTTCAGGACATTTGTTGTCATTTCTTGGCAATTTTTACCTGTTTTTAAGAGTGATGAATGGCCTAGGATGTCTAGTGTTGGAGCCGTAGCGAGGTTCCATGTGCTTGTGGTCACTGGACCGCTGCGAATGTAAAGAGCAATGGCTCTCGAACAAACATGGCCGGGGCCCCGCCAGAAATCCCCACAAATCCTGGTGAATTTGAGAAATACCTGGAGTATCCACTGGCACTGACATCCACTGACCTTCACTGACCTTTGGCACAGGTCAGCAAACATGTCTTGCTGCTGACTGGGAGAATCAGCGCCGGCAACCTGGAGACATGCTGTGACCGGACAAGCTGATGTCCATTGAGTGAAGAACACGGAGCTGACCGAGGTGCTGTCAGTGGTACTGCTCAAGGGAAGCTTTGCTTGTGGGACTGCACCATGCAGCTTGCATTTTGCGAAATGATTTCTTTAACTCTCATTCCTTGCTCGGAATAGCCAAGATCATTGGTGTTCCATAGCGTTTCTCTCCAAGAGCACGAAAGTGAGTTCCCTCACATAATCCACGGACTTGAACATAGAGGATACACATAAATAGCAATTTTAATACGGAAAATGAGGTTTAAATCCATTGGAATTGGGGGATGTTCCCCTAACTTCCAGGATTCCAAGAGACTTGCCCTCCTCAGTGTGGTGGCTGCACATCCTGGAGGTGTGGTTTGCTCGCTATGTGGAGCTGCCAGCAATGCTGTTTGGTGTTTCACTTTTCGAGTTCTTTTTGTTTCTTTAATGAATTTGATATTCGGTTGTATCCTTTCCATGGTTTCTCCATGATTTTTGTATGATTGTTGTATGTTGTATTGGCTGTGGCGGCTGTGCCAGCTCGCATCAACAAAGTTTATGTGGACGTTGTGATCGGTTTGGCGGTGACGGCAGCTGAAGATGGTAGATGCCGTGCTAGGAACCTGGTTGCCGATGTGGCTGTGTTACACTGCAGAAATCTGGGGAACTGAAAACGTAACGAACACAGAGAATGCCATGGAAATGTGACGAATACTGAGTAATTAATTATGTTGATAAAATTTGATAAACATGTCGGATTGAAACCGTGAATTCTTTATTTTTTGAGTTGGGGCAGCAAGCATATTCGAACTGAACGTCGTGATTTTCAAATTTCGTTCCGAGACTGAGAGGAGCACCTTTCAAAACCACATCGCATGTGCAATCCAAACAGCATTCTGCAACCATGGTACGGTCAAGGGATAAATCTGAATACTGTAAACCTGAATCAGTCTGAATAAACTTGAATAAACTTGAATAAACTATAATAAGCATTAATAAGCATTAATTTTCTATTAATTTTCTAATGTCAGATGTTTACTTCCAGCTGGCCAAAAAGACCACACGTGCGCCCTGTGCACGGCACGTGTGTGCTTCAGCCCACTGAGACCTGGGATGTGACCGTGCCGGAGCTCACCTGTGTAGGCTCCATTGGGATGTCAATGGATCGGATATATCCATTGAATCCATTGATATCCATTGGTACAGATAAATCAGATAAGTTATGGATATAGATTCCATATATAGATTCCATTGACTATTCACCCCGCTTCGCGTGGGGTGGCCGCCCACACCGCAGGTTTATTTCGGTCCGTGAGAGGGGCTAAGGGTGGTTTTCCCCCGTTGGGGGCTCCCCAAGCTAAGAATTTTCACTTTCCCCCCCCGTGGGGGCTCCCCAAGCTAGGGAATTTTCACTTTTCCCCCCCGTGGGGGCTCCCCAAGCTAGGGAATTTTCACTTTTCCCCCCCGTGGGGGCTCCCCAAGCTAGGGAATTTGGGGGCTCCCCAAGCTAGGGAATTTTTTTCCCCCCCGTGGGGGCTCCCCAAGCTAGGGAATTTTCACTTTTCCCCCCCGTGGGGGCTCCCCAAGCTAGGGAATTTTCACTTTTCCCCCCCGTGGGGGCTTCCCAAGCTAGGGAATTTTCACTTTTCCCCGCCGTGACAGCTTCCCAAGCTATGGAATTTTCACTTTTCCCTCCCTTGGAGGCTCTCCAAGCTGCGGAATTTCAAATAGCTAGACAACGACGCCTAGATAGTCCCCCAAATCCCGTGTTCTTTGAATGTGTTTCCATGTTTTTGCAATGGTTTCCTTCAAAGCACGGTACTTTACACTTTTGTCGCCATAAAACCGGTCGAAAACATCATGTTCGACAATGCTTCCAATTCCCTTATCTCCCCAACCGTTGAAAATACCGCTATTTACAGTGTTTTCTTCAATTTTTCCATGTTCCAATGCCGGTAGCCAACTCCAACATATATATAAGAAATCCTTCCAAAACATTGTTTTTGACAGTGTTTTTCCAATGTTTCCAGTCAAACAGACGGTAATTTACACGTTTTTTGCCATAAAGGCAGTAAATCCTTCCAAAACATTGCTTTTGACAGTGTTTTTGTAATGTTTCCAGTCAAGCATACGGTAATTTACACGTTTTTTGCTATAACGTCAGTCCAAAACACTTGTTTTTGCAGTGTTTTCAATGCTCTGGCATCCAAAAACCCTGCAAAATCTTGCTATGTACAATGTTTTTTTCATTTTTGGCCGTTTTTCCATTGCCGGAAAGCTACCAAAATGACCCAAAATTCCATTTCAATACCCTCTTGCGCTCAGACACCCAAAAATCCTCGAAAAATGTCGAAAACACCACCGTATTCTGGTCTCGGTGCGAAACCGTTTTTGCCCCCCCCCCCCCAGCTAAAGCTGATATAGCGACTGCTATATTAACAAATGTCATTGAGCATTTAGTGTTGCTGTTTTGCCCCCCAATAAGCACGCCTTCACCGCCAAAGCGGTGTGGGCGGATTTTGATATATTTTGATGAACACATTGGATACCCATCATAGAATCTACATTGATGGATATCTTGAAAAAAAATGGAGGCAGTTTGGAATCAGTTTGAATCATTTTGAGATGCACCAATCAGTTGGTATCTGGCAAAGTTGTCGAAAGGTTTTGCTTGTGAGTCGTAAGTCTATAGAAATGTGTTTTCATATGTTCTACCTCCGGCCCAACTCAAGATTCAGAGAAGGCATGACTTCTCCTCAGGATGATTCGCATGCTTTTCGGAAGACGGAAATGAGGAGTTTCTGAGTCTTTCTTCACTAAGGGCAGTGACGAAGTGTGAACAATGTGAAGACTTCCTGGGTTTCTTTAACAACTGCGAAGTAGCGTGTCATGTTTGACAGGCACTTTTGACAAACATGGTGAAAGTGTCTCGAGCATGGCGCAGCCGGCAAAGCTTTCGATGACTGGAGGACGACTTTCTTGGATACTGTCAGGTCAAGAATCTTAACAATATCTCAAACCAGACACTCCAGGTTCTGATGTTGCAAGTACTTGCATTGGGGAAACCTCAACTATTGAAAGCTGAACCTCGTCGTTTTCAGCGTCCCACTGCTTCTCAAGCCACTGGGTGCCAGGTGATTGACTTCAACAAAAACCGCGTTATGAGCGGTGCAACTGATGGATCTGTACAATTCTGGCATTTGGTGCGCAAACCGCAGATGCGATTGCTGCTGTCAAGGGGCGATTCTACATGTTGCACTTCAAGATAGATGTCTTAAAAGTATGGTCTGTTTGAAAATAGGGTAACCAAATCCCATGCTTTATCATCATTTCCCAGGTTAAATATGCAATACGTTGTAATAAATCGGGCAACTTGCATTTTTGGACGAGCCAAAATCATGATTGCTTCACTTGGACATTCACAAAGCAATGAACTTGAAGCTTGACAGAAAACGCGCTCGTCCATTGCGTTGCTGAGTGGCCACACGGACAAGGTGCCAAGCTGGTGCCCGATGTACTCAGGACATTATCACCCTGTCTATTTCAAAGGTCTTGGATATGTTCTGATTCTGATTCTGATTACAAAGATATAATAGATATGTTATAATATATATATATATATATAAAATGTTGTATACCGATTATATAGTGTCCTGGGACTCTATTGTGGAAAAAAACACACACAAATAATTGAGTATCTTGTGAATGGGGTGGGTGGGCCTCTATTGTGAGAAGTTTTTTCTCAGATCCAATTTTTTTAGGAGGGGCTTTATCCACCTTTATACACCTTTCTTTGGGTAAAGCTGGTCCATTTACTTTAGAAAGCCATATCCATGATGCAAGGTTTCCCAAATAATTAGATGCCTTGTTAAACCCTTATTTGAAAACAGCACCCAAACAATTTTTCAAGGGGGTACCCCATGAGTGACCCAGATCCTCAATAATGTAATTGTTTCCATGGTACCCTATTGTGCACAAAAACTTCTGGGGTGAAAAAACACTCAACGCCTTTTATCCACCTTTTTTTGGTTAAAGCTGGTCCATTTACTTTAGAGCACTATATCCATATTAAAGCCTTGAAAATGCAAGGTGTCCCAAATACTTAGATGCATTATCAAACCCTTATTTAAAAAAAACCAGCACCCAAACAATTTTTCAAGGGGGTACCCCATGAGTGACCCAGATCCTCAATAATGTAATTGTTTCGATGGTACCCTATTGTGTACAAAAACTTTTGGGGCATTTTTTTTTGGATTTAAAAGGAAAATCAATTGAAAGTAGATTGATGTCAATTGAAATCCTTACTGTTGACTATCCTAAAAATTGTTGAGGGGGGGCCAGAAAATGGCGAGTTATTGAGTAGCCTAAAATTGTTGGGTGGTCCCCCACACTAATCAGTATACAACATTATACACATCATACATTAAAAGATATGATGCATATATGTATATACATATGAATAATGTATATATATACATACACATACGAATATAACATATATATATACATATATATATACATACATATGAATATATATGAATATAATATATGAATATATATATAATGAATATCATTTGACAACATTGTTTTTAACCTAGTAAACAGAATTGCAGCCGGGGGTGATTCATGCGAATTCGCACTGCCAGATCAACAGCATTGTCATGGACCTGCAGAAGGCTGGAGGGTTTTCTCCAACAATGGGGTATTTTGGTAGCTAGAATTCCATTAGAATCCACTTCATAACCATCACATTCCCTGAATATATATATATATGTTAATATGATTGTAGAATTGTGTATACATATGTATTAATGTATGCAAGAAAAGAGATACATCTTCCCCATGAAAGTGGGTAATCCCCAATTTGAGTCACAGTCAAATGGTCACAGTCGCTCACAGGCCATCGCAGTTACGGCTTCAGATGATGAGACTGCTCGGGTGCCACTGGAGGGTGCAGAGATGCAGAGAATGCAAGGTTTCAGATGGGTTTATCCAAGCATCTCTGGGATTGACCCCAAATTTACAATTATCATGGCAGTTTTTATGGGGGAAACTAGGGTCAGCCATGGGATTTTGGTTCCTAGAAGAATGACTCATGATGTTTGTTGCCAACGCATCAAAAGTTCATCTGCAGCTGTCAGTTTTTTGCTGAAATACTCTGCCGATGGCTGCAGGTTTGGGACCTCCAAAGTTTCGCCCCTTTGGGTGTTTTGGAAGGTCACACACTGGCAGTTCGTGACCTCACTGCGGACCGCCGAGACGGCGCATGTGCTTACTGGGGTGAGACTATTGACTATTGATTTCGGCAGGTAAACTCACAGCAATACCTGCTATATTAATTAAGTGGATACCTCAGATATGGGGGTTTCCATAAATGGGGATATCCCAGGACAATCTTTTTAAAATGGATGATTTTGGGGTACCCCCAGGAAACTCCGATATGGTCAGCGGATCTCGAGCCCGGATTTGCGCAGGATTTCGAGGAGATGATTTGTGTCACCTGCTCGGATGACACGACGATGCGCATTTGGGACCGAGGGATGTGGGACTGTTGGAGCAACCTGTCAGAAGCATGGCTTGGTGATGTCGAATCAAGGCTTTTTGAATCTTTTTGGATCTTTTTGGCTCTTTTTTCAGTACTGTGGACGTTGTATATTGGAGAGTTGTGTCAACATGTGCCAACTCACTGTCAACTCATTGAACAAAACTTGGTTGTGTCATGTCTTGTCCAGGACCTGATGGGACGAACATGCATTGCAGTACTGGAAGGGCATGCATCTCGTGTGACATGTTTGCGCGAAGTGCTCAGATCTTTCAGGGCGTGCCCCACTCCCCATGCTATGCTCGCATGCTGCTAGTTCTCTGCTCGTGCTAAGGCTCCAACTGGAAGCGGAAATTGGTCCTGAGTGCTTCGGATGTTTGCCTGGCTCAGTTTTAGTCACTTTGATCAGCTCATGAGACCCATCAGAATATCAGAGAAATGATGCCATGATCCAGCCATAAGCCAGGACTACACACTGAAGCTTTGGGACATTGAAAAGCAATGGTGCGAGGACGGGCTCCCGCGGTTCAGCTTGGGGGAGCTGCTTACGTCTCCAGCCGCAAGGAGACGTTCTGTGGCCACGCTGGAGCAATCACAATGCTATGCTGAAGCTCCTTGTCGTGAAGGGGATGTCATGCTTTAAGATCCAGGCTATTTATGTTCAAGAAGCGTGCCAAATCCAATGGCAATGGAAGTTTGGACTGCCAAAAAGATGCAAAAAGAAACGTGATCAGTGACTGCAGCACCCTCTTTTGTTCCCCACTGTATCCCAATATTAATGTCGAATAATGTCAATACGTATTTGCTGGTCATGTGCACCTTCCCAGTCACTGTACGTAAGTTCGACTACAAGTATCGATGAAGGCATTTTCTTGATCTTCTTTTTGATGTCCAGATCGAAGCTGCACCAATGACCTTCGCAGGTCACATTTGCTTGGAGCCCGTGTTTTCACGCTTCAGGTGCACAGGGGGTTCTGGGAGTTGTTGGGAGCGAATGCAAAGGTCGATTTGGTTTCCAAAAGGAGTAGAGTTCCCCATGTGTCCAAACCACGGCACTGAACACAGTCATGACCACAACCGCCCAATATAGTATGATATGATAAGAATTGATAAGATATTGTAAGATTATTCACACTTAGTCTTTCCTTGCTTTGCTCTCCTGAAAGGTAACCCTTTGCAGAGCCAAAGAGCTGCAAATTGGGCAGGGATGCTCTGCGTGAAGAAGCGTGGGGTGCGACCTGTCTCAGCATGCCGTGCCAAAGAAGTGTGATCCCAGCATGACGCCTCGTATTTGCGCTTCTTGCGGAACCATGGAGGTTTCCTTAAATGGGGTACCCCCAAATCAATCCAAATCATCCATTTTGGGATATCCCCATTTATGGACCCCCCCATGTGAATCCATGAGGGCGTTGCCTTCTCGGAGATGTGGACACCTTCCCTGGGCTGGTGACAGCCGAACTGCAGTTTACCAGCTACTAGGCGGCTAACATGCTTGATGGTAAGACAACAATATCAATGTCCATGCTGTCCATGACACTAGAATCAAACAACCTCACTACCCTGCCAAAAAATCACAATCCTCCGAGCTATGGACGCTTTTCATGTCCTGAATCCCTTCTGTCCGAGACAAGAACTGCTGCCTTGGATTGTCCAAAACAGCAAAACGGCTTTATGTTTGCTGTCTGATGATTTTGTTCGATCACATCTTGTCCCTTGCTTTGGAGGGCCTTTGAGGTCCGGACAGTGGGTACTTGTGGATGAAGCAGAGATATCTGAATCAGATCCAATGACGGTCCTCTGGGCTCGCTCTGGCTGTGGAACTGCGAAGCTTCCATGGAGTATGCCGATATGGATAGATGGTGCCTGTTGGCGCTTTGCTGTGAAAATGAAGCCTCTTGGCGTCGTTTGTATTGATAACTTGTTGGAATACGATGCCGCTGCTGCGGTCTTGCGACGCAGATCTGGCAACGGAGGGTGGGGAGCACCAAGCGACCTAACACCACCCAGAAGTCGTAAGGGTCGACGTGTGGCAAGCGTCGTGACTGTTGACGTGGACACGTTGAACTGGTCTTTTCGAGTTGGTTTGGACGAATGGATCTCCCAGTGGGTCCCCTTTCACTTCTCAAGACAGAACTTTTCCAGCTTGAGGCTGTCAGTGGTTTTGCTTCGCAATGGAGCTGAATGCACATTCTTGAATTGTTCGCAGAAAAGATCAGAAAAGCCTCAGCCTTAGCTGCTCCGTCACCACTGCCAGCGCTGTGAAAGAAGGCATATTCCTATTGTGCCCAGCTGCGACAGTTGCTTTTCAAATTTCTCAACGCCACAGTGCGAAAGAAGGCAAGCCGCGGAGTTTCCTCACGGGACTCTTTGGCAGTTGCTTGGAAGAAATGATTCACCAATCGCAGCATACTACTTGTGAGGAGGTGTGCGAAAGATCCACGGGGACAATTTTCAGGCCTTGGCGGGGATCATCACCGGTGCCAGCGGCTTGGGCCTGGAGAATGCCACGTCAATCCACGTCATTTGGGCCGTCTGAAGTCCGGAGAAAGTGCTGTTGGCGCTGAGCTGGAGACTGAGGGGATCTTATTTTCTGGCAACGATTCTATATGGAGTTGTCAGACTTGACCACAGTAAAATCTTTCGTGCAGTCCTTCCTGGACCTCAAACTGCCATTGCATTATCTGATCTGATTCTGATCTGCAATTCTAACATCATGGCGCCTACTGAATGGCTGCCCTCGAAGAAGAACTTTGAGTTGCAGTTCGCCACCAACAACCTGAGTCACTTCCCTTTAACCGAGCTGCTGTTGCCCAAGTTGCAGGAGACGATGCGCTCCTGAGAGGTGCGGGTTGTGATACTGACCTCTGTTGCGGGCGCCTGTTGCTTTGACTTGGACCCGCAGAAGTTGCCTTGTCCCAAAGCGGAGTACCACGACGCTGTGGAATATGCCGTGTCCAAGGCCGTGGACTGTTTAACATGTCCGCCATTTGCAGAAAAAGAATTGTTCGCAGAAAAATCGGGCGTTCATTACTCAGAACGTCTTGGAACCTGTTTCCAGTCAGAGTAATCCAGAGTGTAATTATATATAATATAATTATAATTAATATGCTCAAAGCATTTTGGATTGTCAAGTTTGGTATTCTCATGCTTCCTTCTTAAATACGAAATACATAATATATATATATATATATATATATGAGCAACCGTAAAAACCCCGGCAATACTAAATATGTATTCGACGGACATTGGTTTATGGAAATTGATGGAAATTGTTAAAAACACGAGGTAAGCGATGGGACCTTCCCAAATTAGCGATACCCCTTTTCAAGGTTATGTCATCATATTTCTCTAATATCCACATTAGCGATACCCAAATATCACATATTATTCATAGTTCATCACATATATATATATATATACGTATATATAAATGCAGCAGTTTCCTGCAAGCGATACCCCCCAAGTTTACCATATATCATTATTGTACAAACGTGTGGTAAGCGATGGGACCTTCCCAAATTTGTGGATGTCCTTTCCGTGAACCTAGGGTTTTCACAATCGCTCATATATATATATGTATGTATATAACACATCACACATTCTGCAGCTTGATTACCCAATATTGTTTGAACAGCATGTTACAGTTTTGTTCAAAAGAATCCGTTGCAAGTTGTGAAAGCTCGGATCAAACACCCGGTGCTGGGAGCTGTAGCCTTGACATCCTTGAACACAGGCCCGTTTTTTTTTTGTGTGAAGCACTGGCGCTTGCATTGAACCTGCGGCAATGTTGAAGCTGTCTGGGTCGAGGCCAAGATGTACCAGGAAGATGGCCGACTTCGCTATATTGAAGGGGTTGACAATGGCGATGCACCGGCTCATGATGGCACCTTTGAGGCAGGGCATCTGATGAATCACGTTTCAGATTCTCTGGTCATCTGTGGTCATATTGGCGTAAATGGAGTAGATGGGGATAGATGGGCCATCTATCATTAGCAAGATTCAGCGTAAATATCACGTTTGATTCAGAGAATCTCAGATACGTTATATAATGTTATAACAACTATATATACTGTGTATATATATAACTATATATAACTATCATGAACTCTTTGACTCTTGGGTTTACTGCACTGATTTTTTCTGACAAGACATGGGTCCGCCTGAGGTGAAGCAGGACATCTTAGTCAGCAAATTCAAGAAGTTTGTCAGGGAGTTCTCGTGCGCAGAAAGCTGCCTTAAAAGTGCAACGGACGACTTCTGGAGCACAGCATTCTGGTGGATTTTGATATGTTGTTTCAGTATTTTGATGCATTTTGATGACTTTGCATGGCAATTCTTGTCAATCATCCTTGCAGAAGATCCAGCTACGATCAGCTAAGTATGTGCATTATGTGCTGATTGTTTGTGCACAGGTACAACACCCACAACGGGCAGACAGCAATCACCTCGTTTCTGGCTCAAACATCAAGTCAATGGATCCATCACAGTGCAGCTTTCAGATGATTGAACACAATCGACTCATCCTTCCACCAGGTTTCTGTCTGACCAGGAGTTTATTTTGTCAGGCTGAAGTACCGAGCACAATTCATGGAGAATTGCGAGGAGGAGAACTACCGTTTGGAGGCGTTGCTGGCTGCAACGGGATCCTCAGCACCCGACATTCTCAGCAACTCTGCATCATCCTCATCCGCAGCTGTTTTTTCATTGGAACAAGACAGGTTCCAAGCACAACCCCAGTTGAATTGTTTGAGATTCTTGTTGGATTTTGTTGGTGTGGTTGGAGGTTGTCTCAAGACAGACAGGAATAAAGACAATTTAAAGAGGACACGCATCAAGTCAAGTTTGCCTTGGATTACCTTGGACATCTTTGTTATTCTTTGTTGCTTCAAACACACTCCTGATGTGAAGCTTCCATGGCACAAGCTGCACCCTTCAGGCGGGACATTTTGTTCGAGGGTGGTTGTAGACAACTTCCCAGTAACAGCATCATCAGACATCACTGTGCGCATTCGTTTCTATGAGATGTCTCAGCCTTTGCAGCTTCCCACACTTCTGCTTTCTCCAAAGCTTTTCTTAACGCAAAGCAAGTAGCTCTCAGCATATGGCCGATGAAGGCTAGCGCTTGTGTGCTTGCTGGCACGGCGCTCAAGTAGCATCAACTAGCATTGTGTAGCGTCATTTTCAACATATTTGAAGCGTTCTTCAGCTGAGGTCTGCTATGAGTGTTCCAGCCCAAGTACAGCGAGTCCAGTTTTTGGCACTATCACCATCTTTGCCTGTTTTTGTTCCGGAAATATGAGACAGTTTTGTTAAGCCTTTTTTTTCTGCTTTGTCCGCCAAGCATCATGAAACTGCTTCAGTTGCCATTTTGACATCACCTTAGAAATTTCAGAGATCAGGGTCACTGAAAGTCCCTGCGCTGCATAGCAATGCCTCGATGGATTTGGACTGGCTCTGGGAGGGCTCTGCGGTGAAACCTAGGCCTCGACCACCAAAAGTCTCTCCCCCGAAGTCCCGCTGCCGAAGCCGGAAGTTTGCTGCGCGCTCCGCACGCTCTGCGCGCTCTGCGCGCTCTGAGCACTGGGATGGGACGGAGACGGAATGGACTGAAGGGTCTCGCTTGGCCAGAAAACCTTGGCGGAAGACCCTGGCAGAGGCACTAGCAGCAGGCTCGCAGGTCCTGTCTTGGCGTGGTGATACCTCCAAGTCAATGCAATTGGCAAACGAAGCCTCGCGTGAACTTGGTCATCATTACCGAGACTGTGTGCTGGCCAAAGCAGCTCACGACCGCCGCCGGGCGGCCAAATGGGCTCGGGGTAAAGGCAGAGGCGAAGAGGGAGCCCAAATGGGACCCCGCAACTCTGTTATCGTGGATGCAGTTCGAAAATCAGTGACAGAACCTGGACTGCCCCTGGATCTAGGTACCAACCTTCCAATGGAAAAGAGATTTAGTTTGCAAACGGCTTCAGCAAGAGCCTCCATCACCAGACGCATGTCCTTGATGAAGTCAGAAGAACGGCCTGAATCAAAAGATTCTGCGAGGCGTCATAGCTTGCAGCTACACAGCATGGAACGGCGGAAGAGTCAGCAACCCACGAAGATGATGAAATACAACCGACTCCAGCGGCTGTTGGCAGCAAAACAGGCTGAGTTTGATGCCATTCCTCCGCATCAGCAAGAGAGGCTGCGTACGGCCTTCAATCGTGCGAGGGAGGACGCCTGAACTGAAATCATTGATGTATATCATGACAGTCAAATTTTGTAGAGACTGGTAAGCAACAAACAATAATGTAAATGTTGCAGATACGTACAGATGCATACAGATTCATACAGATGCATACAGATGCATGCAGATGCATACACGCATACACACACAAATACATACGTATTATACATATATATATATAAATACACACACACATCATCATATACACACATATACACGCACATACACTTACACCCACATAGACACATATACAATCATACACATATATATATATATACATATATATATAAATATACACACACACATGTACACACACACATGCACACACACACAAATACCCACATATACGCACACATACACACAGATAAACGCAGATACCCATTGGTGTTCTCGAACAGATTTGAATTAGTGAAACGAATGTCATGGCCGCCTTTTCCAATCTCAAGTCTCAAAACAGGGTTGATTTGCCATGGGATTTGGGGTGATCGTTGTTCTCACCTCTGTGGTATCTGTGCTGAACTTGTGTTGTTGGGGCATTCACTTTTGGGGAGAGTCAGATCGTATCCAGAACCAAATTGCTGGAGCACTGAAGTTTGCCCTGGAAGAGTGCTTTACTGTTGAGGGAACCACCACCACTACGACTTCTATTACTGCCATTCTGGTGCATCATTGGTATTCAGTTCAATTGTTTTGCATTGGTGGCGTGGTGATAGTCGTGGTCTGCACCAATCTTTTTTGCTGCCTGATCTGGCGAGTGGGGTGGTGTGGCCCCAGCATTGGCCGCAGAAGCATCACAGAGCTGCCATCGGGTGAGGCCAGTCCTGTGTCTCCTCTCCCTCTTGAAGTTTTAGCTCGGAATCAGCTAGCCGAATTGAGAGTAAGGAGGCATGGCGCTGGTAGGTAGAACAGCGCTTCTTGAATATGACGTTGGAGGGCCTCGAGTTATACACGAACGAATGATCTTAGAGCATGTCAATCAGGAAAACTATGTGGTGTGCACACCTGATCGAGACATTTATGTTGAAGAACTTTCTGTCAGCAACCCTGATCTTCGAGCATTTAGGTTGCGTCCGGCCCCAAACCAGCTTCCACCTGGAGTTGCACAGAACCAGTTGTATGGGCTGCCTGCATGGGGAGCAGCGGAATTGGCCGCCATCCGTGCAGAAGCCGCTGACCTGGGTCGGCAGGAACGTGCCAATCTTGGTCCTGGTGGGCCTGTGGTTGCCCCTGCTGCAGCGGCAGCGGGTGTGGTGCAGTCACAGGCCCCAGAGGGCCAAGGTCCTGGCGCAGTCCGGCCAGATGGAGCTGACTTGAAATGGGTTGCAGCGGAGGGAACTTCCACAGTTCGATTTGGTCAGGTCATTGAGGGTATCAACATTCCCATGGTGCGTGGTGGCAAGGCTGTACATGTCCATGAAGGGCATCCGATTTTCTGCATGTGCATTGATTCTGGTTCGGTGGTGGATTTCAACAATCGACCTTCGGCTTGTGATGGTCGGATTTTGGGTCGGAGGATGAACGCCATCGGCACGCCGGAGCGCACGTTGTCAGAGGTTGTGGCCGAATGCCATGAGTATGACATGGGTTGGAATCTAGATGGTCCCAGGACCGCCAAATGGTGTTTGAATTATTTGGTAGTCGAGGGCCTTGGGTTTGAAGGCCACCATGAGCGATTCAGACAGCTTTGCAAATTGGAACCTAGCAGCTGGGGGGTGCAGGAACATTTCCAGATGTCGATGGTCCTGCGGCAGATGATGCAAGTTGACATGATCAATGGATTCAACACTTTGTCTGCTGAGTTGATGTTCAGGCGGTTACAGACCATAGAATATGGGCATGCAGAGCGAGCTCGAGAGGCTGAATCACGTGGTGCTGGAGGGAAACTTACCCTGGAAGAGCAGTACACCTTTGGCTCTATGATCCGCCAAGCTGGGACCTTAATGGTTGCACCCCAGCTGTTGACTCACGTCAAGGAGGCTGTTGAGAAGGACGTCACCCTGCAGAAGAATCTCAGGAAGGCTCGTGAAGAAAGAGAACTTGCCCGCAAATCCAACAAGAGCAAGCCTGGTGAGTCAAACCCCTGATGATGGGGGCGCCTGGGGGTGATGGGCCTAACCTTCAGGCAACGCCCGAGGCCTTCCTTTCGCTGGATGTTGATCGTTGTGTCCAGCGGGAGATTTTTCCTCTGCCTTCGTCCTGCCCTGAGGTCAAGCATGCGATGTCTGGATGTGGCCGGAAGATTCAGCAGCGTGTTGGTCGAAGGGTCGCTCGTTCCCAGATGGTGGAGGAGTGCATTTCAGCTTTGAACAGTCTTTATTCGGGTGGGGGCTTTTCTTGTCCGGAAGTGGCTGGAAGGGTCTCTGCAGCACAGATAGCTGTTTTGGAGCATATTTCAAATTCAGTGCAACTTTTGGGCAGTCCACCTGCCCTTACGGGTACAGAGGCGCTTTCGCAGCTTCGTGCCTTCGACGGCTATGGAGATGACCAGGTTCCATCTGCCGTTCAAGCCTACTCACCGGAGGCCCTTTCGTTGCCTGCTGAGGGATCAACTCCTATTCCTTTGGCTCACTTGTTGGGCGCCGACGGTTGTGACATTGTGGGCGAGTTCACTCGCTCGAGACTCCTGCATGTTGATGAGGCCCGCAGGAACTTGGCTGACACTGGCTTGAGGCAAGTGTACACAGACCCGTGTTTGAGGGACCCTAGGATTTACAAAGTTTTTCTGAAGCGTCTTTTGGATGCGGGTTTGGTGGAGCTGGTGGGTGAGAAACCTCGTGAGAGGGTTGAATGTTTCTTTGTGGCCAAGAAGAACGGAAAACAACGGATGGTCATTGATTGTAGAAGGGCTAACTGCTGGTTCGGTCCCCCGGATAAAGTTCGCCTTTGCACTGCGGAAGCTTTGTCCCGTATAGACCTACCGGCTGGATCCCAGCTTCATTTTGCGACTGCGGATCTGAAGGATGCCTTTTATCATTTTGAGCTGCCCCTTCAACTCCGACCGTACTTTGGAACGAGACCAGTTCGCAGGAGAGATTTTGGTGGTAGTGGCGATGGGCTTTTTTATCCTAGACTGACAGTTTTGCCAATGGGGTGGAGCCACGCACTGTGGTGGTGTCAGACGATTCACCAACGCATTGTGGGTTCTGCTGGTGCTACAATTGGTAACTGTTTGCATGACAAAGCTGTTGCTCCGGCCACAGATGTTTTTCATTTGGAGTACGTTGATAACTTCGTTGTCATTGATACTAATGGGACAGCTGTTGATGCTTTGGCCACCCGTGGTGTTCAGGCCCTACGGGATAAAGGGTTGGTCATTCATGAAGAGGAGAGTTCTAGTGGTTCAATCAAAGTGTTGGGCTGGGAATTTGATGGCACTGTGATGAAGCCTTCTGCAACCAGGGTGTGGCGTGTTCGGCTGGCTATTTGTCGCCTTTTGCAGACTGGGCGTGCTACTGGTAAGCAGTTGGAAAAAATCTTGGGACATGTGACCTTCATTTCATTGGGTAGGCGCGAAGCTCTTTCAATTTTTGGGGATACATACACCTTTATTCGTCGGCACTACTGTGGACCCCATCGACTTTGGAAATCAGTGGTTCGTGAACTTCGGATTTTTTGTGGTATTATTCCTTTAATTTGGAGGGATTTGGCTGCGCCCTGGTCCACGCATGTTCAAGCAGTTGACGCATCAGAATGGGGGCTGGGAGTTGCTTCAGCTGAATTTAATTTGGATGAGGTTCAATCTCTGGGGCGTTATTCTGAACGATGGAGGTTTGATCATGATCCCTGCAACAAACCACGGGCAGATGCTTTTGGCCTTGCTGTTGCGGCCAACTCGGATGAGGTGGCGGCTGTGCAATGGGCCACCAACGAATCGAACTCTGCCAAGGCTCGTTTGCCGCCAATGGAAGTGGTGGGCAGCAAAACGGCTGAGCAGTTTTTTGAGCAAGTTGGTTTTAGCACTGTCAACAAAGATTGGGTCGTTTCGGGGCGATACAAGTGGAAACGTTTGGAACCCATTCCTGTTTTGGAAGCTAGGGCGTCTTTGCATTCAGTCAAACATTGCCTACGAAGTTTATCCAATTTTGGTTGTAAGCATCTGGTTCTATCAGACAGTATTTCTGCTGTATGTGCGTTGGATCGGGGTCGTGGTCGTAGCCACAAGATGCGTCGTGTCACACAACAAGTAGCAGCTCTGTGTCTTGGGTCCAACACAAGTTTTCATTTTCGTTGGATCCCCTCTGAATGGAATCCTTCCGATGGTCCGTCTAGGGGCTCAAAGTTTGTTTCGGTGCCTCATTTCCCCGAATGCTATGGTTCTCCACCGGTTGATATGGCTGGCTGCACCCTCAACCACCAAGAAGAAGGGATTGAAAAAGGGCGACAAGGTGGTCAGAAACGCCAGCCCCGTTCAAGTAGGTCCAGGGGCGATACCCAAAGACTTGCAGACGAAGAAGAAGGAGCGTGCTCAGCAGCTGAGGCTAGCAGGGTCACTGCGAGAAGCTTCGGTCAGCGAGTCCAGCCGGATGAGGTACCAAGATGCATGGAATCGTTTCGTTGCGTTTTGCAAGCCCCAGAATCCTCAGAAGTTCAATGCCAGCAGACTGGATGGGAAGCTCAGCAGTATGGTTCAGCAAATGTTTTCGGATGGAGAGGACCTGAGCCAGGCCCAATATCTTCAGGCTGCAGTTCTGTTTTACATGCCCCACTTCAAGAGCACGAGGAACCTAGGCCTTCCACTGACCAATCAATGCAAGGTTGGCACAAGCTCGACCCTCCCAAGTCGAGATTGCCCCTGCCTTGGCCGGTGGTTTGCCTTCTGGTGAAAGTAGCCATGGAGCAGAACGAGCAGGAGTTTGCTGCCATGATGATGCTTTGCTTCGCACTATACCTGAGACCGGGGGAATCTACAAGACTCCGGGTTCAGGACTTGGTGCCTCCAGTGATGTCACGGGCAAAGAGGAGATCGCCGGGTTTTTGGAGTGTGGTTCTGCATCCCATAGAGCTGTCAACAAGCTCCAAAACAGGCGAGTTCGACGAAACTCTACTCTTCGACCTTCCAGAGATACAGTTCATTCCAAAGGCTCTGCAAAGCGTTTTGAAGCTGAAACAGAAGACACCCAACGCGTTCATTTTCACCAAGAACTCAGCCAATCTGAAGACATGGATGGAAAAGACTGGCAAAATGGTGGGTTTGGATGCGCTGGGTCCTGTTCACCCTTACCGACTAAGGCACGGAGGGGCTTCCACAGACTTTGCGTTGGGCCGTCGCACCCTCGAACAGGTGCAGAGACGAGGACGATGGAAGAGTGCGGCTTCGGTTCGGAGGTACGAAAAGGGGGGGCGGCTGTCTCAACTGATGTTCGCTCTTCCTCCTTCTGTGCGAGAACAGTGCCTAGACGCAGAGGCAAACATAGAGAACATTTTCCGATGCCAGCGCTGAATCCTTCAAGGTCCTTGACAGTAGCCGTTTTTCTGGAAAATTTTTCTGGTTGTGGGAACTTATCGAAAAGCATTGCCAAATTGGGTTGGTACGTTTTGATGTGGGATATCACATTGGGGCCTGAATACGACCTTCGCTCACCTGCAAAGCGACGGATGCTTGGTGACTGGGTCCGCAGTGGCTGGATACGTGGTTTTCATCTTGGAACCCCGTGTGAGAGCTTTACACGGGCCCGGGATATTCGCCCTGGGCCTCCTCCACTTCGATCAGATTCTGCGCCTTTGGGTCTCCCTGATCTGAGCCCTGGTGATCAACTCAAGGTAGTGCTGGGTAATCTCTGGATGCGATTTTCAGTATGGCTGCTACGTTTGGGACTACGTTTTTCCGTGCCAGGGTCGATGGAAAATCCTGCTCGGTCACGGATTTGGCTATGTGCACCTGTGGTGATGTTACTAAGACAACTGCGGGTGTTTTGGGCTGAAACCCATTACTGTGCTTGGGGCAAGCCTTTTAAGAAGCCAACTGGTTTTCTGACTGTTTTGGTGAGATTTGATCGTTTGGCGGCTGCTACATGTTATTCCTCCAAGCGAGGGCTCTGTCAATTTTCAGGACAGGCCCATGTGCAATTGCGAGGCCAAAACTCTGATGGCCAGTGGCTTACTCGACTTGCCCAACCATATCCGCCTCGAATGCGCAATGCTATTGCCAATTGCTTTGCTGACTATGAAGTGGACAGAGTTGCTAACGCCATGGGCAAATACCTTGGCATATCAACCGGCTAAAGCCAGATGGCACAACAATTATGGGCGGCCAGTGTCTGGTGCAAACATGGGTCACTCGATGCATCCATAGGATGTCAGGAGTTCGAGTCATGCTCTGGACAAAAGTGAGTGGAGCGATCATTGGTGTTCTCGAACAGATTTGAATTAGTGAAACGAATGTCATGGCCGCCTTTTCCAATCTCAAGTCTCACCCACCCTTTGCTCGGTGCTCGCCCCAACCCCTTTTTCAACTTGATGATTGGGGTCACTCGATGCATCCATAGGATGTCAGGAGTTCGAGTCATGCTCTGGACAAAAGTGAGTGGAGCGATCATATGTATGCTGTAATGTACGCTGTAATGTACACTGTAATGTACACTGTAATGTACATTGTAATGTACACGTACACATACAAATGCGAGTACCTACCTACCTACCTACATACATACATACATACATAGATACATACATAGCTACATACACACACACATACATACACACATACATACATGCATGCATGCATGCATACATAGATACACACATAGATACACACATAGATACACAGATACACACATAGATACAGACATAGATACAGACATAGTTACAGACATAGATACAGACATAGATACAGACATAGATACATACATAGATACACACATAGATACACAAATAGAGACATATCAGATACATACATAGATACATAGATACATAGATACATAGATACATAGATACATAGATACATAGATACACACATACATATATACATAGATATGCATGTATGCATGTATGTAGCTATGTATCTATGTATCTATGGATCTATGTATCTACGGGTCTATGTATCTATGGATCTATGCATGCATGCATAGATAGATAGATAGATAGATAGATAGATAGATAGACAGACAGACAGACAGAGAGATAGATAGATACATAGAAATACATAGAAATACATAGAAATACATAGAAATACATAGAAATACATAGAAATACATAGAAATACATAGAAATACATAGAAATACATAGAAATACATAGAAATACATAGAAATACATAGAAATACAAAGAAATACATAGAAATACATAGAAATACATAGAAATACATAGAAATACATAGAAATACATAGAAATACATAGAAATACATAGAAATACATAGATACAATAGATACATAGATACGTACGTACGTACGTACGTACGTACGTACGTACGTACACACGTGTCAATAGTTTGATGTTCTGAAGCAATGCCTGGCGATGTTGCAGACATTTGCAGACTAACTCCTTGGGTTGTGTGCATTTGTGTCCAACATGACCGCATTGAGCCGCAGAGTTTCTGTAGGACAAACCTTCATTGAATGCGGGCCAGCTTCGTCAAGCCCTGACAGAGATCAAGTTGACTGGCCGCATGACTCATGAGAAGGAGGAGCGCTGACAACTTCGTGAGATGCGGACCTGGTCACTGGCGGTCTGGGATCACCACATATTCGAACTATTCTAAAGGAAACACTGCCCAATTAAACATCATTGTTTGTTGTTGTTCATTTTCCATCAGTCTAGAGTTCAACTCTCGTTCACATCAGCAATTCAACAAGGGCCTTGGCTTGATACCAAGAGCAAAAACAGTCATGAGACAAGAGTCGGGAATAGCTGCTGCCAAATGAGAGACCCAAAGTGTTCGCCTGCGAACAACGAAGCGGGATTTGATGGGACCCCCTCTTCATGATTCTTGTTTTGGGGATGTAAAGCTTTTGGGGGACTCTTGGTTCACTTGTTCCATTCTTGTGATTTGCGATTACCTTTTTTGTGTGGAAGATGCGGATCTGTGTGCGATTGCTCTAAAGGTGACAGGGGGTGAACTGGTTTGGATGGTTTGCAGTTGCATTCCTCCAGGATTGCCTTGTGCGGTTGCACTGGGTTGGTGTTTTGTTTGCCTTCTTTTGTTTCTTGTGCTGGCAGCAATGGACCAGCTCGGTGATGCAGAGCTGTGGGTTTGCTTGCCTAAACGTTTGCGCTCCGGCTTGAGCGCAGCGGGCAGCAGGGCGCTGCCTCCCTGCGAAATGCTGGCTAACATGTTTGTTGACAGGGATGACATCATTGATTTCTTCAAAGGCGACATCCTGGTGGCAGACTTGGAGCGGATTGAGCTCCTCCAGCATCGTGCGGAGAAGTCAGCAGTTCGTGTGCAAAAACGTAGAGCCAACACTTTTCCGGAGCAGCAGCACCTTTGCGTCGCCTCCAAGGCAGCTCGGTGGGAGCCCTTACAAGTGCTCAGACCTACCAAAGCTTGGCTTTCCAGGGCTTCAGGTGCAGTTCGGAGGAGAGCGCCAGGCACGAGGATTGTGACGCAAGCTCCAGCATCGCGCGCAGCCGCTGAACATGCAGATTTGCGGCGATGGCGCGCGAATCTTGCTGCCTTGATTACAGAGCTAGGTCTTCCGGCAGCTGCGCAAGCTGCCTTGGTGGACATGCCCAAGGGTGCGTTGGAAGCAGGGCTGGGCACAGTGCGCGCCGCCACCATTCGCAAGCATGTGCGGGAATTCAAAAAGCTGTCGGCCTATTGCAAAGCAGTGTCTGATAGAGCGTGGCCCAAAGATGTAGGAGTCGTTTTGAGCTACTTGCACGAAAGACATTTGGAACCTTGCTGCCGTTCGGTGCCACGTGCTATATTTTGTTGCATAGCATTTCTTGAAAAAGTAGGTGGTGTGCCCAACGTGAATCGCTTGAGTGATTTGCAATTGTTGAAGAATACAGTAAATCAGATGACGATGGATTTGGAAACAGGGTCGCCGCCCAAGCGCCAGGCGCCCCTCCTACCCCTGGTGGTTGTTGCTGCGCTGGAAGTAGCTGTTTGCACTGATACATTGCCGCTGTTTTTGCGTGGGTTTGCTGTCTACAAGCTTTTGAAAATTTGGGCAGCTGCCCGGCATTCAGATTTGGAAAGCTTGAGTCCCAGCAGCCTTAGCATCAGCCAGGGTGGCCTTGAGGGCAGATTGGACCGGACCAAGACTAGTGGTCCGGGGAAGCGGGTGCGCTTCCTGCCTATTTTTGTTGCCAAGGATGCATTCTTCTTGCGGCCGGATTGGCAAACAATGGGCATGAGTCTTTGGAAAGCGGAAGAAATGAATTTCGAAAGGGACTTTTTCTTGCCCTTGCCTGCAGCGGATTTCTCTGGTTGCCGCCGTGGTATGGCCTCTTACAGCCATGTGGTATCTCTATCCAAGCAGCTGTGGCGATGCTTGCGCTTTCCAACTTTGTCGGAAGGCCAGTGGGTTTTCTCTGATACGTTTTTGTTCGCATCTCCGGACGCAGTGTCCTTCTGGACGGCACATTCAGAGTGCAATTGGCTGGTTTCCATCTTGGCAGCAGCCGGTGTGGCTCGCGAACAGCGGGAGTTCATCGGGAGATGGCGTGCCTCAAGCTCCTCGGAGGAGTACGTACGTTCGGCCAGATTCATTGTGCGCAGCTTGCAGTTGAAGGCCTTGAGTGCCCTAGGCGTGGATCCCTTGCTAAGAAGTTTAGGCATGGACGAGCTGGTGGAGCATCTGCGTAATCAGTGTGGCTTTTGCAACGAAGAACTGGTGGAGCTGAGGGACAGATGTGCGCAGTGTGTGCAACAGTTTCCTTTCCATTCTTTTGCGGTGCCTACTTGCAATCAACCGGCTGCTGAAGCTGGTGCTGGGCCCATGCCTGAAGTTGCACCAGCGGAAGAGCTTGACAGTGCAGAGCCTTTCTTCATTGCAATTGTAGGCCACCGCCGGTTGCGGCGCTTGCACCGGTCGGGCGGCTGCCCGGCAGCCCCAAGAGAGCTGCACGAAGTAGAATATCTTCAATCCCTTGAAGGTGCGGTGTATGACTTTGCTTGTAAGCATTGCTGGCGTGGCGGTGCGGAGCCGGGGGAGTCGTCCGAATCGCCGAGCAGCAGCTCGGAGCCTTCAAGCAGTGACAGCAGCGCGACTGAGTGCTAGGTGGCATCCCACCGAGAAACTTATCGCGTGGCAGGGTATTGCTGCGCTGAGAAAGAGCTTGCTGCGGTATCAGTCAAGCGGGTACTTATAGTCTTAGGATAGTGAGCTGGCTGCGGTATCAGTTCAGCCGGTCCTAGACATGGTAGCTTGCTGCGGTATCAGTTAAGCTGGTTATTGGGTCATGGTAGCTTGCTGCGGTATCAGTTAAGCGGGTTTACTTGGTTATGATAGCTTGCTGCGGTATCAGTCAAGCAGGGGTCTCATAGGTGTTAGGCTTGCTGAGGATGGTGCCTCGCTACTGCTAGTTGCGCAAGCCACGGACTTGTGGAGTGCGCGAGCATGTCCGCACTACGTGTTTGTCCGCTTCAGCGATTTGCTCAAGTGGACGTAGTGTCGGGTGTGCGTGCAGCAGTGGTGGCATTGGTCCCTCTTGATTTTCTTCCTTATCTTCCTTTCTCGTGCTTTTATTTGCTGTGTTCTGGCAGGTACCCTTCATGACGGTCTCGGACAAGGACATTTTGGCCAAGGTGGAGTCGGAACTCAAGTTCCACATGGACGAGGCAAGGGTGCCTCAGGATGTGCAGCTGCTGGTCTACAAGTGTGGATATGATTCCATGCGAATTTTTGCGGGCTTAGACGATACCAAGGAAGCGGTGCGATCTGCGCTCAAGGAAGAATTGCCGACTGCAGTTGTCCGTTCAAGAAAAGCACAAGTCGGAGGCCAAGCTTGGAACCCACACACGGCTCATTCAAACCACTGAGCACGCCTCCTTGCGCTCCGCTATTGAAGCAGTGCATGGCGATCTCTGTGACAAAGAAGTGCCAAGCAAATCCCTGATTGCTCAAAAGCTGGAACAGGTAGAAGACAATTGCCCGGAGCTGGAAGATCTCCGGGAAGTCACATCGGTAGCAGATGCCGCCACCGAAGCCTATGCTGCGGTGATTGACCCTACAAGCAACACTTTGCGATTCAAGCCTGGGAAGACCATGACCACTCCCCCCAGCACGCCTGAGGAATTGCGACTGAGGCATCGCAGGTTGGGCCTGGCATGGGAAATGGCCCGCAGCCGCCACTGCTCGCGTGCTTGGCTGCCAGAGCGCTGCGTTGATGCTTTCCGCAAGTTCTCTGACCATATCTTGGGAGCCAAGATCGCCGGTTTGAAGACCCCTGACGGGCGTTCCCCGGCTTGGAGCAATGTGCTCCTCTATGAGGCTGAGGTGAGGAGACATGCTTACGAAGCGGTGCGAAAAGGAGATGCCAAGGACTTGGCTGTTGCTTTGCGCGATGCTTGCAAAGCACCAGACGTTGTCAGCACTTACTTCATCGTGCCCATCACCATGTCTGCAACAGCCCCTTCTAGCGGGCCATTTAGCGTGGCAAGTCCTATTAGGTCCAAAGGAAAAGGAAAAGGAAAGGGTTCCAGCAAAAGCGGTGTCATCAAGAATTTTGTCAAGAAGGGCCAAACCCCCGAGGGGAAGAAGATTTGTTTCGCCTTTAACCGCAAAAAGGGTTGTGATCGCCAAAATTGCCCTTTCAACCACTTGTGCCAGCGGTGCTTTGAACCCCATTCTTATATGGCTTGCCCGAAGGTGACGCGTGCCGATGAGTGACTAGGGGACGTGGAAGCGGAGGTCGCATTTGCGGCCGGAGGGCGAGTTGACCCCATGGATAGTCCCCCTTCTGGAGGTGAGGTGGCTCTTGGGCATTTGCCTAGGGGCGTGCTCCCTCCGGACCATGTTGGAGGGCGCGTTGACTTCATGGACGGTCCCCCTCCTGGAGGTGAGGTGGCTCTTGGGCATTGGCCTAGGGGCGTGCTCCCTCCCGAGGTTGGTGAGGCGACTCTGGGTGTGCAAGCTCAGGGTGTGCTCCCTCCTCCGCCCGCCAAAACTGCGTGGCAAAGTCCCGACTCTGCATCGCCTACGGGTGGGGCCATGCCATCGTGCAGCGTCGGGGAGTCATCAGCAGAGGCGTCATCCGACGAAGACGAGGATGGGCTTCAAAAACCGCTGCTGGGGTCAGGCATTTGGGGACGCGGGCCTCCTATGAGTGCGAAAATTCTAGGAAAGAAGAAGCCCTTCACAGATGGTCTAGGCTTGTGTTCGCCGGGCCGCTGGGCCCCTAGCTGCAGGCAGAATGCTAGGGACCGTCCCTGCTTAGGTTTTGCAGAGCAGTTGGGACAAGAATTTTTGAAATTGCTAGAGCGTAGCTTGGACATGCGGCAGATTGCTATGAAGCTGGCAGTAGGACATGCGAGCGAGTCACCCTTCAACACCGAGCTGCTAGAAGAAGGAAGGGCCATTCTTTTCTATGCCCTTGAGCTTGCCGGCACCAAGCTGCCAGTCAGACACAAGAGCGAAGGCCAGCCGTTTTACTTAGTAGCGGCAGTGGAAGAACTTTTGCGCATCAGTGGAGACCCAGATTGGCGCGTGTACTTTACATCAAGCGTGTCCTTTGCGCGTGGTGTTCGCATTGGCTTTGAGTCTAAGGCCCCAAGGGTGCCTGCAGTGTTTGAAAGGAAGATGCGCTGGAGGAGGTATGAGGAAGAAGGTGCCGAGTGGGGCTTAGACAGGGAAAATTATTTGTCAGCAAAAACCCACGCCGCAGAGGTCCAGAGCCAGTTCCAAGAGGAAGAGAAGTTGGGAGCAATGGTTGAAATGGATGTATCAGAGGCGAAGGCAAGATATGGTAATCGCTTGGCAGTTGCTTCCTTGGGCGCGATAGAAAAGAAGAACGGCACCTATCGGGTTGTGCATGATGGAACGCATGGCATCGGGATCAATCCGCGGATCAAAGTTCGCGACCAGCTCAAGTCCCCGGGCGCAGGTGACGTCAGAGCAGTGCTGCAGGAGATGCCTGGATGCTTCTTTGCGCTGACGGGCGATGTGGCCCGTGCGCATCGGCTTGTGAAAGTAGCCGAGCAGGACTGGGGCCTGTTAGCTTGCCGGACCGCAGAAGGAGACAAGTTATGGCTGAACAAGGTAGGCTCGTTTGGCATCTCCAGCGCCGCCTACCACTGGTCGCGGCTGATGAGCGGCCTGGGGCAGTATATTACACCCTGGGGAAATCCGAGCTATACTTGTTAGTCTACGTCGATGATCTTTTGTGGATGGTTCGTGAAGCAAAAGGGCTGGAGCTGATTGTGATGAGCATTTTTCTCTTGGAAGTTTTGGGTTTGCCTTTTGCGTGGAAAAAGTTCAAGGGTGGCATTGACGTGGAATGGGTCGGTTTTGAGCTATGCCTGAAGGGGGCAAGACTGGGCTTGTCGGAGGTTCGTGCGCAGTGGTTGATCGAGTGGTTGGCAACAACAGCACAGCGTGGCACAGTGAAAATTGCGGAACTTGCCTCTGTTCTGGGGCGGCTATCATTTGGGTTGACGGCTCTGGGGCACTTGAGGCCTTTCTTGGGACCCATCTATGCTTGGGTTGCCGCAATGGGCAGCCTTGGGGAATGTAAGGTCCCAAAGGCGTTGGTTTTGATCTTCAGGCTTTTGGCGGCAGCATTGGAAGGCTCTGGCAGGTTGGCTAAAGCTGGAAGCAAGTGTGGACACGTGCAAGAGCTCTTCCGCACAGATGCAAAGGCCGAGGGCAATCAGATTTGGCTAGGGGGCTGGGCTTTAGATCATTCTGATCACAAGTATTGCCGCTGGTTCTCTGAGCAGCTAAACCACAACAATGCGCCTTGGTTATTTGCCGCTGGTGAATGTTACAGGCAGATCGCGTCATTAGAGTTGCTCGCAACATTGGCTGCTGTTGTAACCTTTGGCATCCCTGAATGCGCTCGTGGGGGCATAAGTTGCTCTGCGGGAACAGACAACCTGGGAAACAGTATGGTCGTGGCGCGATTGCTGACCACCAAATTTCCTTTGGCTTGTTTCTTGATGGAGTTAGCTTTGCAGCTACAGAGGCGGGAGGCGGACTTGGAGTTGTTCTGGCTGCCGCATTTGCAAAACGAAGAAGCCGATGCCTTGACGAACCAATGTTATACCGCCTTTGACCCAGCGAAGCGGTGCAGGTTCGATGTGGCCAAATTTGAAGGCATTGTTCTGAGTCAGGTTTTGGCAGCAGGGCAAGATCTTTATGAAGAAATAGGCCAAACAAGGGCCGGGCGTGAGTTGCTGGTCCAGCAGCGGCGAACCAAGGTTCGCAGAACCAATGGCTTGAAAGACTCTCACCCGTGGGGCTAAGATTGTTTTGCGCAGGGCAGGTTCGGGTGCGTGTGGGAACAAGGCTCGGGCGCCTTAGGGTTGGGGAGAGTAGAACTCGCCTCGCCTTGGATAAACACTAGCTGGTTGATCCTGTGTGAATCACAGGTGGGGACCGGGTTTAGCTAGTGTCAGGTTTGGCCCCGGGTTTGAGTCTTGTTTGTTTTCCACCACCGTGACAAAAAAAGGCAATCCTGCGCGTGTGTGCGAGGGTTAGTTGAGCAAACAGTGCATCTTCCATCAGTTCAAGTTAAGGTGTCGCGATGGGTTAAGTGTTGAGTCCCAAGAAAATCCCCCAAAGTGTTCGCCTGCGAACAACGAAGCGGGATTTGATGGGACCCCCTCTTCATGATTCTTGTTTTGGGGATGTAAAGCTTTTGGGGGACTCTTGGTTCACTTGTTCCATTCTTGTGATTTGCGATTACCTTTGTTGTGTGGAAGATGCGGATCTGTGTGCGATTGCTCTAAAGGTGACAGGGGGTGAACTGGTTTGGATGGTTTGCAGTTGCATTCCTCCAGGATTGCCTTGTGCGGTTGCACTGGGTTGGTGCTTTGTTTGCCCCCGCCCTCCCTCCCTGGTTTTGGGGAGAGTAGAACTCGCCTCGCCTTGGATAAACACTAGCTGGTTGATCCTGTGTGAATCACAGGTGGGGACCGGGTTTAGCTAGTGTCAGGTTTGGCCCCGGGTTTGAGTCTTGTTTGTTTTCCACCACCGTGACAAAAAAAGCGAGTCCTGCGCGTGTGTGCGAGGGTTAGTTGAGCAAACAGTGCATCTTCCATCAGTTCAAGTTAAGGTGTCGCGATGGGTTAAGTGTTGAGTCCCAAGAAAATCCCAATATTATTGTTTTGTCGGAAAATGGGTTTGACCCCCAAATCTCAGGTTTCTCGTCATTTTCCCATTTAACCAGTGTCGCCGCCGCCACCACCATTGACTACCACCATTGACTACCACCATTGACTACCACCATTGACTACCACCATTGACTACCACCATTGACTACCACCATTGACTACCACCATTGACTACCACCATTGACTACCACCATTGACTACCACCATTGACTACCACCATTGACTACCACCATTGACTACCACCATTGACTACCACCATTGACTACCACCATTGACTACCACCATTGACTACCACCATTGACTACCACCATTGACTACCACCATTGACTACCACCATTGACTACCACCATTGACTACCATCATTGACTACCACCATTGACTACCACCATTGACTACCACCATTGACTACCACCATTGACTACCACCATTGACTACCACCATTGACTACCACCATTGACTACCACCATTGACTACCACCATTGACTACCACCATTGACTACCACCATTGACTACCACCATTGACTACCACCACCACCACCACCACCACCACCACCACACCACCACACCAGCACTAGCACCAGACCCTGCCCCAGCACCAGCGCACCAGCAGTCATGTGGTGATGTGGTGATCGCCAGGCCATTCAGGAAGTGATTCGCGAGTCAGTGGCCGCTGGACAAGTCACCTGGCACATCCAGAAAGAAGAACCGTTACTTGTTGATTGGGTAGCGAAGAAGTGGCAGTTTTGCTCGTTATGAGTTCTATGATTTCTCACTGCATTCTTGCTGTGGTAAACACTTGAATAAGCGAAGGTGCACATGCTTTGGGAGCTTCTGCGTGTGTCTGCAGATCGTGCGACAGGCTTACTGATATCTGCAACATCTTCAAAATCCGTCTCAGCTGAGGTGGATCTTCTGGACTTTGCTCTGCAAGTGATCCCAAGGGTGGAACAAAAGCTCTTTGAGGCCAAATCCCCAAAGCTTTTGACGCTCTTTCAGAAGTTCCTGGATTACTTGGATTTGCTGGGGATGTTGGGCAATGGCACATACAGACACGCATACTTGGAGCTGCTGTGCTATGTGTGAATAGGTGTCTCTCCCTCTCTCTTCAAACAGGCTGATCCGTTTGCTTTTCTTTGATTTTCGCGTTCCCGCGTTCCCCGCGCAAATTATAGTCGGCTGATGTCGGCTGGAAACCGCTGGAAATGGATTTGGTATGATTTGGTATGGAGCAGAACCAAGCAGAACCAAGGTTGGACGCTGTTGGCACTGGTGCCTTATCATCCACCGACTGCATTGAAGCTTTGCGCAGACATGCGGATTCATTCAGCACTATACTGGATGGTGATCTCATGGATCAGTTGCATGGCAGCATGGGCCACCTCTCAATGTGGTGGGCGACCAAGAGAACAATGAACACAAACCTGGGACAGTTTAATTACATACATTTTAGGTGAAAGAATGTGTATATATATATATATTATATATATTATATATATTATATATATTATATATATTATATATATTAGGAGTATCTATATATATATATATTATATACATATGATATAGTGATAGATAGATATATATATATATATATTATATATATTATATATATTATATATTATATATATATTATATATATTATATTATATATATGTATAATACTATAATACTATGCTAAGTTAGGCTTACGTATATTAAATATACGTACACATAATCTCTATATATATATATACATATAATGTGCTTATTATACATATACACACATGCACATGTATATCTACCCTGCAACACACATAACATATCAACATGATGCAAACATGATCAACCGATCAACCCTGCATCTGTGGGAGGTCGGTGGAGGTCCACTGAAGCTGCTTCGATTCCAGCGCCAAGGTTTTGGCCCATCTACGTCAAAGAGCTGGGCCAAATGCGCAAGGCTGCGCCACAAGATGGGGATGGGTCGCAAACCAGAATACAAGACCATATTTATTATGTATTATACAATATATATATATATACATATGTATATTATATGATACCATTCATGAGTGGATGAGGATCACTGATCAGCTATTCTGGTGATCATGAGAATACAACGAGTTTTGATCATAGCTATGTCCCTCTTCTTCGGTTTTGGCGAAAAACGGGTGCCATGTTCCCTGGAACAGATCAGCAAGAACAGCGATGAGACGGTGGACTTCATCCTTTTTCAGACTCTAGCTTCTGATCCTCGGATGCGTCGATGGTCCTGCAGTTGTTTGAAAAATAGCAAAGGCAAAAGATGGCAAAAACCAGAGAGGTTTGGTGAGTTTGGTACTGAGGTGTCAACAACTTTGTCAACTCGTATCATAAATTTCAATATCTCGCAGTTGATTTCAGCTGCAGCTCAGTCATTTCCTCTTCCCAAGGAACTGCAGGACAAGTTCACCTATTTCCAAACGCAGATGGAGGAGCGTGCTGCAAAGTCGGCCAATTTGCCTCCAAACCTGGAGGCATTGGCAGCGGGCAGCGCCATGTTGGCATGAGATGACTGGACTGTGAGTGACTGGACTGCGCTTTGGTTACTTGGTTTTGTGCCAGACATGGACACTTGAAAAATGCACAGGCTGCCCATTTCGGCGAAATTGCTCTCATGATGCGTTTTTTTCGACGTTATGAAACTTGTATGCATGGCGGGGTGCTCGGGAATTGACATGCATTTCTTCAAAAGGAAAGTTAATCTCGCACATAGACCCTCTTTCAGGTTTGATGATGTGTAGAAGAGACTTTCCGCATAGTTGTCCAACCAACTCCAGATTTTTGAGGCATGTCATGTCGTGGATTGAGCGAGTGCACAGAGCAGGATTGCTACTGCACCGCTTGTGTACGGCTCATTTTGATACATTTTGCGATTATGAGAAATCAGCAATGATTGGGATCACACGTGTTTTTTTTAGGAAACGCACTGAGTATGACTGATTTTATTCTGATTTGGAAGCTTCAATCCGAAACCAAATCAAGCACTCCAGTGACTATAGCGAGAAAATGCCAGTAATAACTGGCCTTAGGTCTTTCTTGGCGTTTGTTTGTAGGAATAATATCATATAATCGTCTATTTCTCTCTCATCACACACTTACACACAATTGCACTGCATAGAAAACCGTTTGAATCAGAGCAGTTTGACTGTTACATCAGATTTCTTGATTCAGAGACCGATCGAGGTATGCGCCCAAGACAACCACTTTGCTGTTTAGAGTTTAGGGAGGGTCCTTGGAATACGGTGGTATAGTGAGCACCCAAGGATCCGGCATCGCGTGGTGTGGTTTCTGCGGAGCAATTGGTACTGGCACTGATGGATTCGGGGACACTGCCTGTGGTTGGCCGGCTTCACCATCACATGATGTCTTCATATGCGAACCAAGCCTGCAAACTCATTGTATTCCGATTTCAGGACTTCATCGAACAGGTGCACACTCTAAGAAAGGAGGAGAATGCGGTTCGTGAAGCCGCTTTCAAGTCATGGTATACCATTCATAAATGGCCGGATGACACGAAGATCCACATCACAGATATGGCTCAGCTAATTATGGACCTCTCCTTGGTCGCTGACAGCTGCAGAAATGTCTCTGATGTTCGGCTGCTCGTTGATGATGTGCAGAGGGATCCCTCAGAGTCTCTGCATCTAGACAGCAAGGAACAAAGTTGAGTAAAATGCATGAGTAGAAGTAAGCCATGGAACAAGCAAACTGATCAAACCGTAGAAGTGTACCTGCAGAAGCCTGAGATCAGTGTTGGAAGATGTTGGAAGTGTTGGCACTTCAATTCCTGTTTTCACAGGTTTTCAGAGGAATTTGCTTTTATTGACATAAAAAGCACCAGCTCAGCTGAGGTACATGGAGGCGGCGATTAAGCTCACTGAAAAGGTGGTGGAAACCGCCCGAGTGCAAGCACGAAGAAGAGAAGCAATGGTGGCAGATCAGGTGACACTGACTGGACCGATCAGCTGTAAACATCTGTAAACTGTAAACAGTGTTTGATGTTTGAAGCACAGATAGTGCAGCATGGTGTTTGGTTCAACTCTTGAATCTCAACAATGATTCACAGCTTCAGAAGTATTCACATGTCACCAGTTTCTGGGTTCACTATGCTTCACTGTTCACTGTGGTGAATGCTTCACTTTGGTTCACTGCGTTTGGTGGGCCTCGGCCACCTTCCATGTGACCGCCGGCGGACTGCAGAGGGGTTTGGTGATTCCCGTGATTCCCAGCGAAAAGCCAGGTGAATTTCAGCACGGAGCAAGTCCTGAGTTTGCGCTCGTCCTTCAGCGAAATGACCCACAGTGGAGTCACTTGGCGATCTTGGCGTGGAAGCGTGATCACACGAAGTCTGCCCCAAGTAGAAACATGTTGAAACGTCATCTTTGGGCCATCTTTGGGCCCCTAAAAATGATAGGAAAAGAATGGAAAAGAATCGAAGAGATAGGAAAAGTATCTGCCTGCACGTCTATGCCACTCAAGTGCGATACAAAGTGCTGCCATGCTGCAGCTCTTTTGTCCCACTTAAGAGAACTTTGTAGACTCCGCATTTTCACTCATTGACCCCATTCAAATATGAGCGAATCAAGACCACAACTTGGGGCTGACCTACCCATATTCGAATGGCAACACTAGGTCATTGGCCCAGATGATCTGCACGACCTGCTAACTGAGCTGTTCCCGGACCACGAGATTGACGATAACTTCGTGCAGGATCTGCTGGATGCGGCGTTGCCCTCGGGATATTTCCAAAGTGGCTCCAAACCCATCGTGCGGCCCAAGCGGGAGGAGACCATCACCAAGAAATCTGCTCAGGTTGGAAAATGGTCAGATAATGGGCAGTTGGAAAATGGATGACTTTCACCTTCCTATCTTTCCAGTGGTTTCCGAGGTGCTTTGCGGGATGTTTTGGTGGAAACATATTCACGTAACATTCATGTAGATTACGGTGGATTTGGGTCTGAAAGGGTATGTCTTGCACCTTTGCAAGCATTGTAGTGGTGGTGGTGGTGGTGGTGGTGGTAGTGGTGGTGGTGGTGGTGGTCGTAGTAGTAGTAGTAGTAGTAGTAGTAGTAGTAGTAGTAGTAGTAGTAGTAGCTGTAGCTGCTACTAGTACGCTTGAAGTTTGTCGGATTAGTGCGGACAAGAAAAGTCGGTGTATTCCATTGCTAGTTTGCTCTGGGTGTGTGACAGATCCAAAGAAATTAATAGACGTTGCGTTGTGGCTTTTGAAGCGTAGGTCATCGTAGATCCCTTCTTCCTGTGCTGCGACAGGTTGCATATGCAGTATGAGAGGGGCTCCAAATATCCAGTGGCAGATGTGTTGGCGATGTACATAAATTCTGTAGAGGTTCCCAACCTAAACTATCCGAAACACGCATGTTTGCACAGTCCTGCACAGTCCTGGGAAAAGACACTTGGGTTTGCAAAAAAAATACGGTGTACCCCAGCTCAACAGGTTAGTCATCGTATTCATATAAATTCCATTAATTTTCCATCATATTCCACATTCCAAATTACGGATTTAATGTAAGTTGCCATTTTGATCATTTGGTATCCCGACTGCCACCAGATGCTGAAGACATGCAGATTCCTATTCTGGATGTTCAGGCGCAAGAAGAGGAGGCGCAAGCTCATAGACGAGTGCCTCGACCAAGACAACAGCTGCCATACAGCGTCATCAATAGCCACGAGAAATGAGGGGGTGTGAGTTTCAGGGACTCGGATCCGCAAGGCATTGGGCATTGAACCAAGATGAACCATGCGTTTAAACTTTAGTTTAAACCATTGAGCATCGTTGGTTGCAAGAATCCTACTGTAGGATGATGGACCACCAAGGGCTTGCCACTGGTGTCTTAGATGTTCTTGAATTGCTCAGGCGCTTGAAGAAAGCATTTTGAGGTTCGATGGTGGCTTCGGCAAGAAAATGAGCCGCAGCTGTCCATTTTGTACCAGATGTGAGATGTGATTAGATATGGATATTTGTTGCACTCAATGCCGTGCCTTTCAGAAGCAGCATTGATCACAGATCAGATGGCTCTTCCTGTCCAAGGCTTTCTATGGATCGTTGGCCATCTGCTGAAGCCAGTCTAAGATGGGAGGTTTGACACGCTAGCCGCGGTCATTCGCGAATTTGATCGAATTTCTTTATTTGTACTCGGCGGTCTTTGAAGTTTCCGCTGGTTGAAATGTAGCGACAACTTGGGCAATGGCATGTTTTCAGCCATGGTCTGTGTAATGAGAACAACTTTCCGCGAAAGTGGACGGCGTTCGTTTCACCCTTGGATGCTGATGGTCAGCGGATTTCCAGTTAACGCTTCGGACATCTTCGGACAGTTTAGTGCAAGAGGAAAAAACGGAGAGTTGCCCGAACCAGGGGAAGGGCATCACATTCCGCAGGGGGTTGATAGTGATCAGATAGGGAAGCAGCTGTTTTCGTCGCCTGAGAGGGGTCCGTGCGTCTCAGCTCTGTTCTGAGGCATCCAGAATGTCAAGGGGCAGGCAGGTCTGAAATAAATGAAACAAGCATTGCCAGAATCGCAAAGAATAAAAAGAATCGCTTTCTGCCTGATACCAATTCCCTCATCTCCTTTTGTAGGTAGAAAAGCAACACTTTACTCTGGAAATTCCGCGCTTTGAGCTCAGAGTGCAGCAACTCTTTGAGAGCATGTCCCAGTAGTAACTTCGTTGGTGCTAAGAAGCGGCGATCCAAGGTGTGACCATCGATGAGCTGGCATGAACCCAAGGGAGGCGAAGGGAAAGAAGCGAAAAGGACGGCCTCTGATACACTGATACTCACTGAGGCAAAGAACAGCACTCTGAGAACAGGACTTCATGCTTATGCTGCTGGTTTGCACTGTCACTATGGCCCAGCATGGCCTACTTCAGCTCACGGACCTCACGGAGTGTTTCGAAATGTTTTGAACAGTGAGCTGAGATTGTGTTTGAGGTTTTGTCAGGCTTCGCCCAGCAGTGGAATGCCATCAACTGGCACGATTCCCAAACTGCAGCTTGAGCATGGACAAACCAGCATCCCACGTCTTTGCTATCAGGAATATCAATCATCCAACCAGTGGCACGCACATTTTTCATTTATAATTTGTTGGGATGCCATGCTGCAACGATCTGCAATGGCTCCCAAGGGGAGCCAGTTTCAAGACCTGAGGACTCTCGACTACCTGACGAAAAAGATCCCTTTTGAGTGGGTGCGCCTCTGAGATCCGTGAATGTTTCTGCATTCGAATCGCTTCGCAGGTGGTTTACTGAACCTTCCGCTCTTTGAATGGTCGAGGTTGACTACTATCCGAAAAACATGGATGATGTTTCCGGCCCAGGATTTCTTCTCATAATCTCCGTTCTTCTCCATGTGCTTATAGGGATCATTTTGGATGTTTCTTGCTCCTGAGGTCGGCAGCAAGCCATTCCTTTTCAAGTTCGATAGAGCGGTGTCTGTGGCCTTGGCTTCCCTTGCTCGCAGTGAATTGCGCTTGGATGCCCTTGCTGCCCTTGCTGATACCCTGCAGCTGAGGCAGGAATTTCAGCATCCCAGGGAAATCCCTTCGCAGCTGCCAAAGCCTTCAACTCAGACTCATAGGGCGACTGAGGCCACAGGTTTGCTCGGAAGTGTTCGCTGTTATTGCCGACCTTGTGCTAGGTATATGCAAATTCGGTCGGAAACTCGGTGAATGGCATTCTGAGTGTTCTGAAAGATGAACGTCATTACAGTAAGGCTTAGCCTGCGTGGCTGGAAACGCCTAAAGAAGGACTTTACTCCGTGGGGTTCTCACATGGGATGCAGTTCGCACTTGGTCGCTCAGGCTTCATACCTAAAGCATCCTAAAACTATCCTAAAACTTGTTTGTCTAATTTAGTCCAATTATATATAAATGTTTGTCTCTTACTTTTTCTGGAGTCCAAGGAAGCCCTTGCCGGAAGTGTTCTGGGATGATGATGAATGGATCTCCAAATGCATGCAGAAAGATAGTCAGGCGCGGCATCGCTCAGTGCCAAGCTCCTTCCAAGAGGAGTTTGATTTATATTTGAAAGAGTCAGAGTTGCCGGCAGGTTGACAAACCTGCCATCAACAACTTCTTCGTCACCAATCAGTGGAAATTTCTGCTGATTGGAGAGAAAGGCGAGATTGGACACTGACACTCCAGGTATGATGAAAAGTACGTGGACAAAAAGATGAAAACAGCATAAAACAGCAAGGTGTGGCTAGTTCTGACTAGTTCTGACATCTACATTTTGACGGTGCAGGAATTCCGGACAGGTAGGAGAGAGGCATCAAACCGAACACTTTGGACCTCAGAGGCACCACCATGTTTTTCCACAAGGATGGGACTGCCAGACACTCACAAAGCAGCGGTCAGAGAAGTGACTGAATGCCGAATGCCTTGTGAGACCTTTGATTTTGATGTTTGCATCAAGTCAATTGGCATTCAGAATTAAGTGTATACCATGCATCAGCACAGAATCTATTGGACTTGCCACCACTTGCCACTTGCCGCCGCTTGTCACCATTTGCGAGTGTGGTTCAAGAAAGCCACCACAATTTCCGCTCCAGCATGACGGTTCCCAACGGAAACGGTGCTCGCGAGCGCAGTCGAAGCCGGGGCGAGCAGGGTGAGTCCCTGGTGCCGATCATCGATATCGGAGCCCTGTCCACGAATGACAAGGCCGCACAAAAGGCCGTGGCTCAGAAGATTGGGAAGGCATGTGAAGAGATCGGTTTCTTCGTAGTGGTGAATCATGGGATCCCTTCTGATGTGATTGATGCTGCTTGGAATCAAACTTTGGATTTCTTCGACCTCCCGTTGGACGAGAAAAAGAAATATGTCAGTGAGGATGAGGCCAAGAACCCATACGGACACTTAGCTCAATTGGTTTGAGTCGGTTTGAGAGAAGCCTTTTCATTGCTAAGGTCGGGTGAGATTTTTGTCACAGTCCGTGTGTTTGAGAACGTATACGTGAGTTTCGGTTTCAATGAGCCCTTAGACCCAGAAAGTGATAGACAGGAGCTTGCTCACAAACTGTTGGCATTTGGACACGGTGTCTTGACCAGCATTCAGCATCTCTGGCGAGGCTATTCAGTGCTGGGTGGCGAGCAGCTTTCCCGTGGTAAAGAGTTGGAAAATGGCAATCACAGCAAACAGATGGGCGACTTGAAGGACTCTGTCCTCTCTGTCCAACCTGTTGATATGTGCTGCATGCTTGTGGCAGGTCATGGCAGGTACCAGTATTTTTCGCACCGATGGCCCATCCATATCAACCATTCCGAATCTGTAGACATTGTTCGAATTTGTTCAAGACATTTTGAAGCCATTTATACGATTTTAATCGATTTTATACGTATAATTTCCAGATAAACAATAAAATCCAAATTAAGATAAATCTGGCTGGTAGAATCCACGATTTCCTCGTTCCTGTCCAACCAAGAGAGCTAGTTCCACCATTGCGGAGGAGATGTACCAGATGGGTCCCAAGAACCCGGATGCTGGGATGCCACCTCGAAATCTGCCCGACAAGCCAGGCAATTTTGCAGAAGCCTGGGAAGCCCACTGGTCTGCACAGACAACATGTCTGAATTCTCCCGGTCCCATCTTTTTTCTTTGTATTATGAATTATGATATATGAGTAACCGACAAAATTAGCAGAAGACTAAAGTAGTAAGGAATGGACATGGGATGTGCAAATTTGTGAAAACTTCACAACCGATAGGGGACCACCCACTTACCGATACCCTATTTTAGAGCTGACGCTCATCGTCGGCTCCGCCGGATTACTTGACCCTCGATGTCATCGCAGGGTGGGCTTGAAAGCTATTGAATGAGGACCTGCTGCTTCAGAAATATAATATATTCCTTATACTTTTTTTGAACATATTCATGGAATCATGGAACTGCGTTTTTTTTCTTGGAGCAAGTGGGGAAGGCTTGTTCCCGAAAGCTCCTGCGAATGGTTTTTCCTAAAGAATTGCTGCCAATTTCAACTTTCCACTTCGTGCAAAAGCGCCTCTGTGTAAAGACTTTTCTGTGTAAAAGCTTCCGTGTGTAAAAGCTTTGCGTGTAAAAGCTTCTCTGTGTAAAGACTTCTCTGTGTAGAAGCTTTTGTGTGTAAAAGCTTCTGCGTGTGAAAGCTTCCGTGTGTAAAGGCCCTCTGTGTAAAGACTTCTCTGCGGGAAAGTTCCTGTGTGAAAAAGCGTATGGGTGTAAACGCTTCTCTGTGTAAAGACTTCTCTGTGTAAAGACTTCTCTGTGTAAAAACTTCTGTGTGTCAAAGCTTCTGTGTGTAAACGCTCTCTGTGTAATCACTTCTCTGTGTAAAAGCTTCTGTGTGTAAAAGCTCCTCTGTGTAAACGCGTTCGTGTGCAAAATCTCCTTAGTGTATCTGTGTTAAAGCTTCTGTGGTAAAAGCTCCTCTGTGTAAAGACTTCTCTCTGTGTAAAAGCTTCTGCGTGTAAAAGCCAGTCTGTATAAAGGCTTCTCTGTGTAAAAGCCTCTGTGTGTAAAAGCTTCTGTGTCTAAGAACCGCTCTGTGTAAAAACTTCTCCGTGTAAAAGCCCCTGTGTGTGTAAAAGCTTCTGTGTGTAAAAGCTTCTGTGTGTAAAGGCGTTTGTGTAAGAGCTCCTCACCAGCAGCATTCATCATCAGAATTTTGTGTGCTATCTTCTCGTCTCCTCCTCCAGCTTTCTTTCGGGCCACACTGTCGTCTAGTTTCAATCCGTGACGTCATTTTTTGTTGAAGAATGCCAAGAACATGTGCATGTGACAGCGTCTGTGCGTAACAGCTTCTGTGTGTCAACGCCCTTGTGTGTAAAAGCTCCTCTGTGTAAAGGCTCCTCAGAGGCTTCTCTGTGTAAAAGCTTCTGTGTGAAAAGCTTCTGCGCGTAAAAGTTTCTCTGTGTAAAGACTTCTTTGTGTAAAAGTTTCTGTCTGTAAACGCGCCTCTATCGTGCTATTTTAGAGCTCTCTGTGTAAAGACTTCTTTGTGCAACAGCGTCTGTGTGTAACAGCTTCTGTGTGTAAACGCCCTTGTGTGTAAAAGCTCCTGTGTAAAGGCTTCTCTGTGTAAACGCTTCTGTGGGCAAACGCGTCTGTGTGTAAAAGCTGTCTGTGTAATCACTTCTCTGTGTAAAAGCTTCTGTGTGTAAAAGCTCCTCGCCCGTGTGCAAAATCTTCTTAGTGTAAAGACTTCTCTCTGTGTAAAAGCTTCTGCGTGTAAAGAAGCCAGTCTGTCTAAAGACTTCTCTGTGCAAAAGCCTCTGTGTGTAAAAGCTTCTGTGTGTAAGAGCCGCTCTGTGTAAAGACTTCTCTGTGTAAAAGCGCCTGTGTGTGCAAAAGCTTCTGTGTGTAAAAGCTTCTGTGTGTAAAGGCGTTTGTGTAGAGCTCCTCACCAGCAGCATTCATCATCAGAATTTTGTGTGCTATCTTCTCGTCTCCTCCCTCCAGCTTTCTTTCGGGCCACACTGTCGTCTAGCTTCAATCCGTGACGTCGTTTCTTGTTGAAGAATGCCAAGAACATGTGAAAGCATCGCTCGTTTTGAAAATTGAACATAAAAAGCGCACAAAGTGCCGTAATTTACAGCATTTTGTGCTGTCAGATGGCAAGAACCCGCGTAAATACCACAGTTTTAGTCCCCGGAAGTTGATAAAACATGATAAAACACTGTTATTTACAGGGTTTGGTTCACGTCACGATCTTCGATTTTTTGGAAAATGCGTAAATACCAGCATTTTTTGCGTTCATCAATGCCAAAAAAGGGCTCAACAAGTGCAAACAATGCTGCAATTTACAAAGGTTTGGTACCGTCATGGGCAACAAACAGCGTAAATACCAGCGTGTCAAAAAGTTGTCAAAACACAGCTATTTACAGTGGTTCGGGCCTTCCACGTTTTCTTGACATTCCAAAAACTGTGTAAATACGAGCATTTTTTTGCGATCAACCCGCCAAACATGCTGTAATTTACAATGTTGTTTTTTTCCTTTGCATTCAAAAACACTGGTAATTGCAGTGTTTTGTGCATCTCTAATCAAAAAAAATGTATTTACATTTTCTGCGTTTTTGCATTGTTCCCGCAAAAGACATAGCTTCGAAAAGCTAAAAATCGTCTGAAAAATGTGTCAAAACGGCGCTTTTTCCCGATTTCAGCTATCCTCAAAACGATGGGGTAATGCTCTTGGAGACGCCCTATGAGCGACCCGGATTCCGTCCCAAAAGCTCTCCCCCAGCAAAGTGAAGGATTTTTGTGTTTTTCGGGGTCCGGGGTCGGAGGGTCGGCGGTTTGGGGCGCGCCTCACCATAGAGCTCTAGTCGCTCTGGGGCGCTCGTGGGGCAACCGGGTCACAAGGGCGAAGCTGTGCATGCGAGTCATGGTCCCAATGGTTGAATAGCAGTGTAGCATTGCACGATTTTTTTGTCAGAGATGTGCACGAAACACCATGGAACTAAAGGACGGAGGGGACCTTCGACAAACGGCTTAACGTCGCTGTCTGACGCGACTAGAACCTAGCTCCAAATTCCAACTTGCAAGTCTCCAAAACCTTGGCTTCACAGCACCGAAATACGTCACTGCCTGTCAGAATCTAGCTCCAAATTCCAGCTTGTAAGCCTCCAAAACCCTCACAGCACCGAAACATGCACCATGCATGGAACTAAAGGACGGACGGGGCCTTTGACAGACGGCTGCCAGTGCCCAACGTCGCTTTCTGACGCGACTAGAACCTAGCCTTCGACAGACGGCTGCCTGTGCCTAACTCTGACGCGACCAGAATCGAGCTCCAAATTCCAGCTTGCAAGCCTCCAAAACCTTGGCCTCGCAGCACCGCAACACCACGAAACTAAAGGACAACGGGGCCTTCGGCTGGCAATTGCCCCTGCCCAACATTGCTTTCTAACAGAAACTAGCTTTGCAGCCTTCAAGCTTCCGGATCTTTGCTTCCGTTTGTCATCCATCGTGGCACCCTCTTTCAACCGTGAACTCGCCAGTTCCAAACACCATGCGAGGGAAGGCCGGTCGAGCTCCTTCGACAGACGGCTTTCTGAATCGACAAGAAAATAGTTCCAAATTGCAACCTTCAGGCCTCCACAACCTTGGCGCCGCCGTCGGCGAAACCAAATTGCAGCCTTCAAGCCTCCGGACGTTGCTTCCGTTCTTCATCCGTCGTCGCGCCCTCTTTCTTGTCCATTTGGCATTGCTTCTCAGACGCGCTCCCCCTGGTTCCGTGGGGTCGGCGGATTTTTATACATACCATGGAAGTACAAACCTTCACAGCCGATAGGGGACCACCCACTTTGGCAATGTCCATTACGAGTAGTAAATAATTTTGCCCGCCACTCATATGATTAACCGTAGTTATAAATATGTATGATGATATATGTTTAACAACACAGTCGCAGAGTCTTTGCGACAAGGGCATGCGTCCAAGTTCCAGATTGTCACCTCCCACAATCGATGGTTAAATATGACCCAAATTTGATCCCATGCTCACCAATGGCACTACTCAATGGAAAACACTGAGGCATATTACGAAAATGCAAACCAGCTTGCACAGAGACTTTTGCGAGCTTTCGCGATGGCTCTTGAGTTGCCGGAAGACTGGTTTGTTGGTAAGACTGACAAACATGTGTCAGCACTCAGATCCAACAACTACCCGGACCAAGCCAATATGGTGGTCCCGGAAGGTTCCATTCGTTGTTCAGCGCACACTGACTACGGGACTTTGACCATTTTGAAGTCAGGCAGGGGGAGAGCCGTTGATATGACATATACTTGGTATTGTGAATGCGGACAGGGGCAAACAGATACGAAGCACATTTAACATACAACACACAATGATGATGTAAAAACAACTTATTCTAACAGGTATTCTACCGATCATCTTGCCGTTTGGTGACACAATAGCCTGATTTACCCCCCTGTCAGGTGGGCCCGGGCTGCAAGTCTCCAAGGATGTGGAAAACATTTGTTGGCATGATGTGCCTTTCGTGGAATCCTGTAGCAGTTCAGTTTGTTTTCGCTTTGTTTGTCTCTTTTCATCCAATGGTTTTAGCCTTGGAGGAGGTTCACCCAACATATCGCAAAAACAGTACCTTTCGGCGCATATCCTGACACCCCGACAGTATACCCACCAGTTACGGAGAAGCAGACTCCCCCATAGCCAACAAAGCAGAAAGGAATTATTTGGAAAGCAACAGAATTAAATTAGATCTCCGAAAACAAAAGCATGCAGCAGTTGAGGACATGAGGAATCGGAACCAGCAAAGGCTGTTGTGCAACAGCTTGGAGTTTTTTTTGGCAGGTTTCCAAATGTTTCCAACGTGTTTAATAATGTGCCTCCAGAGTTGCCATTATCAACACGGCGACGAGTGTTTCAGTGAATACCTCAGGACGAAACTGTTTTGGACTGGCAAAACCGTGCGTCAACATGTGGTTTGCCCTGAATGAGAGTCAAGCTTGAAACTGGGGTTTTCGATGTGGGGACAAACATACAGGCGTGAACATCTGTAATATATGATAGATGGTAATATGTACACAATATTTATGTACATATATAATATACACAGTATACATACATATATAATTTTTTTTATCTATATATATAAATATATAATTACAGTAGATTACAATTGCCATACCATCACCCACTGGGCTTCCCAAGGAGAATGGCTTTGTGATCAATCTGGGTGACCTCATGAGACGATGGACCAATGACCGATGGAGCTCGACGCTTCACCGTGTGGTCAATCCACCCAAAGACAAGGCAGCCACTTGGGGCAGACGCCTGGCCATTGCCTTCTTTCACAACCTGAACAAGGTGGGCAGCCTGAAGATTCCACATGTCACAAGTGTCACAAGACAATTCTGTTTTTTAAAGCTAACATTTTCTCTTGGATTCTCTTGGGTTGGGGATCGCAGCACCTCTGAGAACATCCAGCCTTGTCAGGAAGAAAGCCTCTCACAATCATCACACCTCGGTCTCACAATACTTCTCACAGCAGCTACTGAGAGTACATCACAATACGTCGCACCACACACCTCACTTGCTTGAAGGTGCCAATTATCTACACGATGTGCTGATGTGTGTCTGCATGTCTGTGCACAGGATGCGATGGTCGAAGCCATACCTTCTTGCGTCAGCAAAGAACGGCCTGCCTTGTACGATTCCATTGTGCCTTCGCCTGCATTGTATACCATTGCTAGATGGATCTAGATGGCGAGCTGGAGATTTCATCAGCAAAGAAATCTCACCTGGAATGCCGGACTTGGCAGATTTCACAGAGCAGAACATGGGCTTATCCTAAGATCCCACAGTTTATGTCAGTTTACCATCATTTCCGCTCATTTCCCCCCTTAAAGTTGCGACAAACCCAAATGCAAACGACTCAGGTTGCAGGAGAGTTTCTGATGTTGAAACACCTTGCGAGCAACGGTAAAGCAGATCCTGACGCTCACCTCAAGCGCATCAAGGCTGGCAGACTCTTGGCAGCCCAGTTGGCTGAAGATTAAGGATGGTTACAGTGGGCTTATACCATACAATATACTGGGAATGATCATAATATAATGGAGAATAATATAATATAATATTTTACTATATTACAGCATATGATAGCATATTATATTATATATTTTGTATGAAACTATATCAAATATGTTTGAAAATCATATTAGATCATATAAAATTAAATTATCTTATGTTATATTAAATATTCTATATTATATAATATCATATTATATTTTAACATATTATATTTTAATATATTATTACATTACATATAGTATATATATATATTATATGTATTTTTGAATATATTATGTTATATGTTATTTTGTATTAAATTAAGTTCTATTATATTTTTTTTTATCTTATTTTATTTTATTGGGTTATATTATATCATACTATATTATATTATATTTTATTAAATTAAATTAAAATATATTATGCTATATTAAATTAGATTGAATTATATTATAAATTATATATTACATAATATAAAATACAGTGTAGATTTTCTTTTACAATACAATATATATATATATATTATAATATTTTTTTAAATATTTAATTCAATATTTAATATAAATTATAACTTTATATCTTATATGAAATATAATATAATATAATATTTGTAATGTTTAGTACAATATATGCAATGCTTGATATTATATATTTATTTATTTAATAATATATAACGGAATTTTGAATATAATATGATATTTTATAGAATAGATATATAATATGAGATACACTTTAACATATTGTATAATATATATTCTAATATTCAGTATAATATTTAGTATAATATGATTTATAGTAAAATATGTTATACGACCTATAACATAATAACTGATATATAATATATTAACCATAATCTGTTGTGATAATCCCCATTCACAACTCTGAGTGGTGCAACAACAATCTCTACCTCAGCTATTGCAGCTGCTGCCCACACAAAAGTATACCTCATACTTTGCCTCCGAAACTCGAAAGCCTAGGCCCTAGGCACCAACCATCACCAGCCACCAACAGCCACCAACAGCCACCAACAGCCACCAACAGCCACCAACAGCCAAGATATGAGTGTGCTCTGCCGTTTGGACTCAGGTTGAGATGAGGTTTGCGTTTGGCAAACCGCCTCCTGACAGCTGATCTGACAGATCTGAGTTAAATGGTAATGCGCCTGCCGTCAGCAGATGGGATTTGAAGACAAATAGATTGAAAGGTGCCCATACCAAGCATTATGGGTCGAATTCCCTGCTTTAGTTGTTCAGTTTGATTGTCCCAACTGCACGTCACTTTGAATGTTCTAGGATTACTTGTAAAAATCAATCGTCAGCTAGTGATTGCACTGCTGACTGCTGAATCCCCACATGATTCAGTCTTTTGCTAGACCCTTCAAAGTTGGAAAAAAGGACCCGGTGTGCCGATGGCGTGCTACCTTTTTGGGGTGTTGGTGCTGTGTTGGTGCTGTGTTGGTGCTGTGTTGGTGCTGCTCGGAGCAGATAAGGCAGCATCAAGCTGGCAAGTGCAGCTAGTTGGCAAGAAGAGGCCATTGGTAACGCAAGGAGGGTTGATTGGGTTGACCAGTAGCCAGGAAGGGCATGTGGTGCTTGGATGGTGCGAATTTGCGAAATTCCAAAAGGAATTCAGATACTTCATCAGAACCGTTAGGATGACTTGTTTGGAAAAAGAAAAGGCAAATATGAAGAAGTCTGGGATACACTCTCAGGTGCAGATACCACAGCATTTTCTAGTTTTGGGATTTTGATCCTTTTTACCGCAGTTTTTTCATGATTGGTGTTTGACCGGCCGAAGATTTTTCTTGTTTCAACATAGGTGGACTCTGTGCCCCAACACGGAGTCAAGATATCTTGATCCGCACCTTGACACGTGCGCCACATTCGAAGACTTTCAGGGGGAGTTGTGCCGTGTTCCTACTGATCCTGCTGTCCTAATGCACATTTCAAGGTACAATCCGGACTATTCGCGCTTTCCACAATTTGCGAAAGCTCAATGTGGACAGGCCAGGTGGCCAGGACCTTCTTTTGTCTCCAGAGAATTTGACCTGTCAGGTCACCGTGTCTCCAGGGGTCGAGCTGGCATGTTCAGAAGGGTGGCTGTGTCAATGTGGCCCCCCTAAACTGGTGTTTTGAACAGGACAAATGAGGACATATGAGGATACCATGGGGCACCCGATTTTCAAATCGACAGGCCCGACCTTAATCCTTTCCCGCTTGAGGAGCTGCTCTACTACCCAGCTTACTGGTGGCATCACACACTTCAGGTACTGGGGGCAATGGAGCCTGGAGGGTTGGTATTTCAGATATTTAACAAGCTGCTTTTGCATCCCCGATGGTATTTCCACTACAAAAAGGGCGGACACGTGTACGGTATAAAATGGTCTGGGGATAGGTTTTTGTAGCTGAAATTAGTCTTGGGCCCCCCTTTTTGTAGTAAAGTTACCCTAGGCATTTTGTAGGCCCCCTGTTTGGCAAATACAATAGGCTTTTTGTAGGCCTCCAAAACGTGGAATCGAAAATGGAAGATTATGTGATATTACATCAGCTCATAAATTGCTGACTGCATTTTGTAGTCTCTTTGTGGCTGAATCATGCAATGTACAACACAGCCCAAGAGAATCAGGGAATGCATTTTGTAGCCTCAGTAGCCTCCACCGAATTTCCCTTACAAAATGATAGCAGACGGATGCAGATGGAACTTCACTTATTTTCTTGTGCAACCCCTTTGCGGGCAGGGGTTGAGGAATGCGTGCCTCCACGCCAGCCGCTTTTGTTGGCTCAGTGTGTCAGTGAACCAGCATTTTGTTGGATTGTAGTTGCTGAGAATGGCAGTGCCACCAGGGTGTCCGCATGTCTGCGGGGTGAGAAACTGCCTCCAGAACATGGAACCGCCATGGTGGGATGGCTACAGGAGGTGCTACCGTGTCTCGCCTGAGCAATGTTTGGAGGTCTTTGGGATAATGAATGATTCTGAATGCCTTTGTAGTCTCATGGGTGTTTTGTCCCCATCTTGCTTGCCACATGTGTGTCACATGCAGCCGGCATTCTGAGTCACCAAATGCATCATGGTGGGCACTACATCGACTGGGTATGCTCGGAAGTCCCATCACCATTGTTTCTTTGATCCGTGCCTTGACTCCAAAATTATTTCAGATGTCCAAAGTATCTAGAAGATTTCAGAAGTGCCATTACTTGGCCTCAAAAGTTTACAGACTTCCATTTCAACGTGTGCAAAGAGTGATTTTGTAGAAGACGGCCATGTGTTTGTCATTTTGTAGTGTAACTGTGTGTGTGTGTGCGTGTGTGCGTTTGGAATCTGCATGTGTGTGTGTGTGATTCAAAGAACAAAGGACATGTGACATGCTGTGACCACTTCTCAGCCAAAGGAATGCAGCTGGTTGGACATTTACATGCCGACTCAGCAACGTGCGGCCGCTGGGAAACATTGAGCCTTTACCGCATTGATTTTGGGTTGGAGGGGAATGGGACCAGGGATGAGGCAAAAGAGAAGGATGTAGGGAATTCAGACACCCAAAGATTTGCCAGGGAAGTTGATTTTCCAAGTGGAGCTAATTTGATCGAAGTGGTGTTTACTTTGTTTCAAAGATTTTCAGATGAGGGAGTCATGCAATTTTGTAGACATGACCCCTGGTCACAGTCAATTTGTAGGGCAACCACCTGGTAAGATCTGGTAAGAAAATTGCGTTTTTGGGCTCAAAGGTTTGTCTATCAGGTGTGATTGTCGAAGGGCTGCCGCTGATCCCGTTTGAGACACAAGATTTGCCTTTGCCATGATGTTTTGGGCCTTTGCCTTGCTCCTTGCAGCTGCTGGCATAGGGGCTGTTCCGAGTTTGCGGGATGACACGACGTGTACCACGTGTGAATTTCAGCCCCTCGACAGATCTAGTAAGATTCAATAGAATTCAATAGAGGCAAACAAAGGACGATCAGAGTTGTTTCTCCACATATCACATTGCTGTTATCTGTTTAGTTGGTTGATGATGTTGCATGACCTGACAGGATGATGTTGTATGCTTTTAGACATGTGCATTGCCATTTTGTAGGCATTCACAAACTGCACCATGTGGTTTGTAAATTTTTGTAAGGCCATTTGAATTGGTTGAAGCCATTGCCCAGGTGGTACCGTGCAGAAGATCATGCAGAAGAACTTGTGCATTACCTTGAGCAGAGTGCCATGCAATCTGCCCAAACTTTGCACTGTCTTGACCTCTTCGGTGCATCGGGACGGGTTGCCAGAACTTGGTCCAAAGCCGGATATCAGTCTGTGTGGTATGATGTGAAGATTTCACACACTCACGATATATGCACAGAGACTGGTATGAAAGTGTTGCTTTCCATGGCAGCACGGTTTCCTGGCATGCTGTTTGCATTTTATTTTGCACTGGATTTTGTATATATTCCCTATATTTTTTAAATATATGAACCCCATTTTGTAGGGTTTGAGCTCTTGGGAGGCATTTTGTAGTCATTTTGTGGTCCCTGAGGCTCAGGGACAACGCATTCATTTGCGCAGCGCCCCCATGCAGTTTAATGGGCCCAGCCTGCGCGAGCGTGCACCGCAGGACATGGGATGCGCCTCAAGGCGATTTAAAAAACTTTAAGGTCAGATTGAGCAATCGGATCTTCATGAACATGGCACTTCGTATTGAACAGAAGCAACTATTTCTTTTTTTTTGAGATATGTTTGTTGTGGGATGTTTGGGATGCTTTCAGTTGTTGAGCTGCAGACCAGGCATTGGCATTACAACTTGTCATGAACTGGAACCCATCGCTGTATATTCTAATTGAACAGCCATCAGGGAGTTGGGCGTTCAAACAAATGTTTATGGTGATGCTGTGCGCGGCATTGAAAATGTTTCTTGGTTTTGCTATGTTATATTTTTACATTTTTCATATTGTTTCCAAGTGTCTTACGGTGGGTAATTTGTTAGTGACACAGTGACACAGGGTTTTCATGGCTTGTGGGATTTTGATAGTCCACCAGGTTCCAGATTACCACGTGGATGGGGATGTACCGACACGACTTGCCCAAATGTACACACCTGAGGACGAACTGTAGGTCGGCAAGGGCATTTGTTTTTCCATGTTTTTCCCGTTTGGACATGTTTAGACCATGAACATCGATGAATGATTTTTGTTTCTCCAAAAGATTTGACTGTTATCCAATTTTGTGGACTCTTGAGAAACCTTGGGAATCCCTGTCAGATCGATGGCCACTCTGGCGCGAAAGATGTCGCAGAAGGAGCGTGCTCGCATCAAGAGACGCTTCCAGAGGCGGCAGCAAAGGCGACAGGTGCCAAAGGTGTCTGAGTTACAAAATCAGGGTTCCAACTATATTTGCTACAAAATGGCAACCATTGGATTTTACCAGAAACATGTTGTTCTGAAATCTTTTCAAATATCAACCTTTCTCAAAGTAGCGCATTCATATGCATTCATCATGAAAACCTTGATGATATCAGGTCTATCATTCGCGCTCTGTCAATCGAAAAGGTCAACCAACATGGCAGGGAGGAAGGAACCTAGCCGAATCTGCGAAGTATACAAAGACCTTCTGTCAAGCAATGCTGACAGCATGGATGGCAGCTAGCCATCCCAGGTTTCAATGAAGCATGAACAGTGCTTCTTTGTTTCGTTGTAGATAGGCGCGCCAAGATGCAAGGATATCTTGATCTCTTTGGAGTGATCATCCATAGAGGCATGTGAGCTTGAGAGACCGCTCCCGAAGCTGTGTGTTCAGCGAGCATATGGGAAACCCATGAGAAAATGAGATGAGGCTGATGTGGAGGTCATTGAGGTTTTTCATGGCTTCACATGGTTTCACATGGTTTTACAAGATTTTCCACAGTTTGGGTCTCTGCAATGCACCTCAGCCAAGGAATACGCACCTGGTGATGACGGTGTGAACCCGCCGCCGCCACCGGCAGCTCCGGTGCCTTTGGCTTCAATGTAAGTTCTGACTGGTGTTTTTGTATCTTTTTGTAGCATAGATTCTCGTGAACATCATTTTATAGCCCTGGTTTGTTTATCTTAAATCCATTTAAATCCTGCCATAGAGTTCCGAAGGGTATTCACATGTATTCACCAAGCCACTTGGGTGAGGCACCACTTGCAGACGCAGTGGATCCAGTTTCTTGGGCTTTACAAGTGAGTGTGGATTGGGATGGATTGGGAGTTAAAGATGGCTTCAAGATGTTTTGTAGGATGTGAATGGATGTGATGTGATCGCCTTTTTATGCCCTTTTCATTGCATGGGCATGCACATTGCAGAAACTTGAGCATGATTTAGCTGCATTGACATGCTATGGGGATCTCTGGGACATTTGATTTTCATTTATCTTCTGTCTCCACAGCAGGTTCCTTTTGCATCCGTTTGTTTGCCCGACACATGCACGCCTGAGGCCCCCATGGAAGATGCTCCAGATGATGTCGAGGCAGCGCCTTGGACTTGGCAATTGTATGCTCCAGTGGGTTTGGATCTTGGGATTTTGGTTTCACACTGCGTTATCAATAGTGAAATTACCAGAAACATGTACATCTTGGGATTTTTGGATATTTTTGGTCGTTTTAGATCTTGGGATCTTAGTTTGCAATTAACATAAACAATGTGCAGGGTGAAGAACATTTCGAAAAGGAAAAAAACGTTACAATGCATTTTGTAGGGGTATGAGCTGGAGCCCGCATCTTGTAGACTATCTTCACTCCTTGTCGTGGGTTCCTTAGGCACCCATAGAGTGGACAAGACCAAGTGCCAGCGATGACGCCAACATGGAAGGGGCATCTTGGCCAATCTGGTTGCAACACAACACAAAAAAATACACAAAGATAATCAGAGATACGCAAAATAGATCAAAATAGCTTAAAATATAACAGAGATGATTCGATCTTGTTGCCTTAGTACATTGTAACCTCCTCATGTAGTCCTTGGTGACAGCTTCTGCCCAGGCAAATCCTACAGAAGGAATCGAGGATGCTGGATGGGATGGGATGCGGGGAATATCGCAGGCAATCAGACAGCTTGCTTGGTCCCGGGGTTCAAATTTGGCATTTTTCTTTGTCCGGCTTTCTTCGGAGTTTGCCAACCGGAAAATTCAAACATCAAACATAGTATATAAAGTGATTCGAAGTGAACCATTTGTTGTCGTTGGTCGTGGTTGCAGGAAGCCCTGAACGATTTTTGTGACCAATGGTGTGAGAAACTCGACAAGCTGGTGGAAGAAATGCCTGAAGACGCTTGCACTGG